TATATGTGTATAACAAGAAAAAAAATATTGATAATATTAAAGACGTGACAACATAGGCTGGATGAGGAAGGCTCGGTCGACTGTACCCAGAAGTAAACATGTGTACAAAAAAGGTTGTTTGTCCGCGTTGAGATGTAAATAGTGTAGTCTATATTTTATTTTAAGTCTATGGCCGTAACTGTGTGTTGTCGCTGAAAAAACTACGACACTGGTTACCATCTGGTTACTTTCTGTTGATGGAAACATGGAAACATCGCAAATGGCGGCGTGCGCGAGGATATGCGCGTAGCGTTCCCGCCAAAGCGAGTTAGCCTGCCGTGTGATTTATATGCCGTGGTATAGGTCTTAGTTCTGTTATCTGTGGATAGGTCGGAGAGAGAAATATGTGAAAATCTTAAAAATTAATTTCTTACCTTTTCAAAAATGTATTTAAAACCGTACCAAATCGTTCACTGATCACAACCATATCTAAACCGCCCACTTTTATTCCAAAAGAGTTCTTAAATCTGTGGTTAAGAATAGTTCATTTTTATTACACTTATCCTTAGTAGTTCATATGTTTATATTTCACTATTTACTATTTGACACATCACTAGTCTAGGTGGAAAATATAGGTTATGTCAGTTTTGTTTACGTGTAAAATGTTTAAAAAATGCATATAAGTTAAGCTTATTTGTATAATTTAGCTGACAAAGCTAAGAGATGTGGCTAGTTTGAAGACGAAGTTTTATTTTAATAAAATAAATGTCCTAATTAGAAGCTATAATGGAGGATGTTTCAATGTTATTTGCCTTGGCCATTGTAATGACCATTGGGTCTTTTTTGTCTGGAGCAATTCCTCTTTTCTTTACTTTTTCTGAGGTAACTATGTTGGTTCTAATGTATTTATTTAGTTTTGTGAATTGAAACATGTTTGTTTTAATTTTATTAATATATTTATGTTATAAATACTTTTTAGGACAAGTTGAAAAAAACTACAGTTTTTGGAGCTGGGCTATTAGTGGGGACAGCTTTAACTGTAATTATACCTGAAGGTATGTAATTATAATATGTACCCTATGACCGAAAAAAAATGATGACAGAGGAAAATGAGATGAAATCTTATATTCATTATACATTGGTTTTACAAAGTAGAAAATAATACCGTATAATCGAATAAAAACGGCGTCAGCGATGGCTATGAAATTAAGATCACTGTTATTTTATATGTAAATTTATATGGGAAATGTCATCGATCGTTATTTCCCAGCCAACTGGACTTCATTTTTTTTTATCATACTGTAGGTTTCTAATTTAATAAATTGTTTTTGAACAATTTATTGATTAATTTAATATAAATAGCAAATTTTGATTGTATCAGAATTGTGAAATTTTTCTTGATCTAAATATAAACATATCTCATTATCTAAAATTATTGGTGTAGACAATTATTGTGTAAGGTTGTTATTAAATTTAAACAAAGAAAACTTGAAACTTGTGGAGATGAAACGTTTTAGATTTGGTGTTAAAATTATTGGTGTAGACAATTATTGTGTAAGGTTGTTATTAAATTTAAACAAAGAAAACTTGAAACTTGTGGAGATGAAACGTTTTAGATTTGAAACTTGTGGAGATGAAACGTTTTAATATTATTCTATATAGAAGAATATTAAAGATAACATTACAGATAATAAACAGGTAAACAGATAAATGTAAATGTACGATTCTAATTAAGGAATCAAAAAAAGATGATCTAGTACAACATTTAAAGATATAACATCTGTAAGAATTAAAAGATATATTTAGCATGTATAAGACTTATTTTCGTATTTTAATCATAGGAACATGACTTTCCAAAGTTTATTAATTTATTCAACAACTCTCAAGAATAAAAAGTTCTAAATGTAGCTAAAAAATTATGATGGTTGATATGAACTAAATTAACAATAAATCAAGAATAAATAAATAAACAGATAAATTAAATGCAACATTATTTTAACTCCACCAAGAGTCAAAAAACACATGATAAAGTATAATATTTATTGATTTAATATTAGCTAGAATTAAAAAAATTTGCATAAATTAGAGTTCAGAATTAATTGAAAAATAATATTATAAATAATGAATAATATATACCTTTATAGCGGATTCATTTTTCAATATTAAAATACACACACTGGAAAAGTCTAGGGATATTACAATTTTATCCAGCCATCGTCAGTAATTTTATTATTTGCATTTCTGATATAATAAAATTAAAATAAACAAATAGTCTACAGGACGTATTGGAAATAAAAATGCGAAATTTACCGAATTTTTCAAATTTACCTTGATTTTTATTGAACTCAAAAAAATACACATATTTTTAATTTTATTCTAAGCTATGAATTAAAAAAAAAAGATAAAACCATTTTTACTTAATAAAGGGTATGGCCTCCTCTACTGTTCATTACAGCCCTACATCGTCTCTTCATGCTCCTGATCAGGTTGTCGATCTCTTCTTGAGGTACAGCCTGCCACGCTGCATTCACGGCCCGAACCAGATCCCTACGAGTTTCACGAGGCATACCCATTCTCAAAATTCTGCTTTGGGCCGCGTCCCGTACGTGCTCGATGGTGTTGAGGTCAGGAGATTGTGCCGGCCAGGGTAAGATGTTTAATTGATGAGCGTTGATAAACTCACTTACCACTCTGGCTGTATGAGGCCGTGCATTGTCATGCATGAGAATGAAGTTTCTCCCAAAATCATTGGCATATGGTAACACCACAGGCTCAAGAATTAAATCACGATATGTGATTCCTGTTAGAAACCTTTCAAGAAAAACGAGATCGGTTTTTCGGCATAACTGGACTCCTCCCCAGACCATAACTGTTCCACCTTGATAAGAGTGCACTTCCAGAACATGATCCAACCGAATAAGATTTCCCGGTTCTCTCCATACCCTAAGCCTTCTCTAAGCCGGATGAATTCCAAAGCGTGACTCATCCGTGAAGAGAATATTGGCCCATTGTTCATTTGACCACTGAACATGATCTTGAGCCCACAAATATCGTACCTCTCGATTTCCTCTCGTTAAGGGTTGAGTTCTCCAGGGGCGTCTGCTTCTTAAATTGACCTCTCTTAATCTATTGCGAACAGTGTCAGGACTAACGATTACATTATGTGTTTCCTGGAGAATTAAACTAAGTTCAGGTGCTGTAAGAGTCGGTCGGCGTCGAGCATTTAATAATTGTAAAAAATGATCTTGCTGAGGGGTAGTAATGCGATGTCGCCCTGTGTGCCTTTCAGGAACATCACCACTTTCACGGTAGCGTGCACTTAATCGCGATATTACACTTTGTGTTGTATTTAATGCTCTAACTACGTCGATTTGGCGCATTCCAGCTTCGAGCATACCCATGGCCCTTAGCATTTCGTTTCTGTTAAGATGTCTACGCTCCATAATGTCGTTTAATACTAAACAGAGTTATTTGAATGAATTCTGGCCAGTTATCATAAAAACATAGCCAGTACAGGTTAAATTCGAACAATTGATGCTAGGTGCTTTTTATACATTTGACAAAAAATGCACAAACACTTCTGCAAATATCCCAAATTTAGAAATAACTAGTGTGACTACTTCGTTTCAATCGAAGTAGAAAGAATCGGCCTACAAATATGTGGTTGTTTATTCAAAACATTTATTTTTAACCTTAATAAAATGATATCCCTAGATTTTTCCGGTGTGTGTATATATATAATAATGATCGATAATAATAAAAAACACGGCGTCAGCGCTGGCTATTATTATTATTACAAAAATAGTAGGCAGGTAAAACTCCATGAAACTATTGAATCGCATAACATATTTTTATCTATCATAGTAAAAAAAAATATTCCACTACCTACATTGAATTAAAAAAATAATAAATTTAAATTAAAATTAAGATCACCGTTTACAATCATATGAAGGGAATAGAAAATTGTTCCAGCTCTTCATTTTCATGTCTGTCTATTCTTAAACATATTGACATTGACACTTGTAGCATTTGTTGTCCTCCATTCACGCAGATGTGCCGCTCTGAACTGTTCAAGAACGCGATACTCTCACTCCATTCAGTTGAGTCATAAAGTTCAGAACTCTTCCGCGCCATATGAGGGCACCAGACTATTGCGCAGAGCTCCTTTCAGAACCGTTCTCGAGTAGCCAAGGGCGTAAAGCACTGGAACTTGAAGTTCGCGAATGGAGGACAGCAATTTACTGTCCTCCATTCACGCAGTTGTGCAGCTCTGAACTGTTCAAGACCGCGATACTCCCACTCCATTTGCTGTCCTCCATTCGCGAACTTCAAGTTCCAGTGCTTTACGCCCTGGGCTACTGGAGAACGGTTCTGAAAGGAGCTCTGCGCAATAGTCTGGTGCCTCCATATGGCGCGGAACAGTTCTGAACTTTATGACTCAATTGAATGGAGTGAGAGTATCGCGTTCTTGAACAGTTCAGAGCTGCACAACTGCGTGAATGGAGGACAGTAAATTGCTGTCCTCCATTCGCGAACTTTAAGTTACAGTTCTTTAGGTCCTGGGCTACTCGAGAACGGTTCTGAAAGGAGCTGGGGGCAATAGCCTGGTGCCTTCATATGGCGCGGAACAGTTCTGAACTTTATGACTCAATTGAATGGAATGAGAGTATCGCGTTATTGAACAGTTCAGAGCTGCACAACTGCGTGAATGGAGGACGGCAATTCAATTGAGTCATAAAGTTCAGAACTGTTCTGCGCCATATGGAGGCACCAGTCTATCGCGCACAGCTCCTTTCAGAACTGTTCTGAGTAGCCCGGGGCGTAAAGCTCTTGAACTTGAAATTCGCGAATGGAGGACAGCAATTTACTGTATCATACTGTTCCAGCTACACATTACTCTATTTGTAATGAAGCTTAAGAGACTATTACAGCGTTATTATCCAATTTTCTGTTATATCCTCTAAGGTTGCGCGTTTCACTGATATGGAAGATGTTCATGATGCATCCATATGCTGTCCTCCATTGGCGAATTTCAAGTTTCAGAGCTTTACGCCCTGGGCTACTCAGAACAGTTCTGAAAGGAGCTAGACTGGGTGCGCGATAGACTGGTGCGCGATAGACTGGTACCTTCATATGGCGCGGAACAGTTTTGAACTTTATGACTCAATTGAATGGAGTGAGAGTATCGCGTTCTTGAACAGTTCAGAGCTGCACAATTGCGTGAATGGGGGACAGTAATCGTAGCGACTTGCGATCTTGAAAGCCTACTCTTTTATTAGGTAGATCATTGTGTTAGCTTGTTTGACTATGCGATGATATGACTTTTGACTATCATGTGATACTCCCACTTCATATTTTCCGCAATTTCAATGCCTAGTAGATCTTTGTGATGTTGATCTATGAAATGAAAATTGCTGTCATTTTATATGTAAAATTATATAGGGAATGTCATCTATCGTCATTTCTAAGTCAACTGGACTGGTTTTTTTCGATCATAAGGTATTATGTACAGACTAATATAGTATAAAAAAACTCTTTATTGCAGGTGTAAGGTCTATAATATCCGAACAGCAAATAGCTCGAGCTCAAAATCAGTCAGACACTCACGCACATAACGATCCTTTATCTGTGATAGGTATTAGCTTAGTTGTTGGATTTATATTTATGTTAGTTATTGACCAAGTAAGTAGAAATATAAATAAATTTTATTTAAATATGTCTTAAGCTTAAGGTTAAAAATATACTTAAACACTATATCAAATGAATTATAATATAATATGGTTATTTGTTGTTAATCTCATGATACAAATACCTATAACTGTTATGCTATAACTAATGTTTGTGGCGTCACGTGGATTACACATTATTTTTTAATTAGGTATCTCAGAACAGAAATGACAATGTCAACCCTTCTGAAAGAAAAGCAACCGCAACAATAGGGTTAGTGGTTCATGCTGCAGCTGATGGTGTAGCATTAGGTTTGTATTAAATTATTATTGTTAATTTTAAACTCAATAATAATAATAAATAATGGCGGAATGCGATCAAAGTAATCAAAGATGGTAATTTTTTTTACAGTGGTAAAGAGATGTGAGTTCAAGTTAATTAAGAGAGAATAGTATTTTAAACTATTTGAGCTATTTTTATAAAAATTAAATGGAAAATAATAAAATATTAATATACCTAAAAAGTGTAAATAATAAAATATTAATATACCTGGAATATCAAATATTCATAGTACAAAGTCTCTAGCCTAGGTTTTTAAGTGAGTCATAGTGTTACCATACACTATGCTAACTCGAAAAATAGTTATGTGAGAAGGAATATGTACAGGGTGGTGCGAATTTTATTTAGGAAACTTCGGCATCGTATTCGGCAGATAAAAATAAGTAAAAAAGTTAGAAATTAATGTCCTAAAATGCTTCGTTTCGGAGATACAGTGTGTAAAAATTTAATTTTTATTTCGTTATTTTTCCAAATAATTTCTGAAGTAACGTCAATATTTGAATGAAAATTATTGGGGTATGGGTGTTCTTTATATGAGAAATTTGGTTTCGATGTCAATATGACTCCTACTTGAAAGGGACATCATCTACATGTTTCTTAATTGATTTGAAGTGTAGTAACTTTTCGTCCGTACCTGTATAAAACTACTGAGCGAAAAAAAATATATTTCCGTGATTTATTACGTAAAAAACGTTTCATGGTAAAAATCGCTACGAGCAACGGTTTTCAAGGTATTTACAGTGGAAATAGTCAATACAGGTCCATAACTGATAAAAATTATACATGTTGACTGGATTGTAACTAGTCTGAAATAATAAATTTGTGAAATTTATATTTTTTTAGACTAATTATGATTTTTTTAGAAAAAAAATACGATAAAACAGTTTCTGTCGTTTCTGTTGAATATTTGACACATAAACATTTTAAATTTATTATTTCAGACTAGTGATGTGTCGGTATTTGAGTAACGCGTGTGAGACTCCCCCGTTTTTGAGAAAGCTCACGGACGCCGAGTTGCCTTGGTTCGGTTCCTCGGGCGCCACCCCCAACGTTTAAAGTGTTTGAGAGACCACTAGTGCCAATACGGGTAGCTTTTATACAGTGGAGATACCAGGGAGTGATGAGATGAAAAGAAAATAAAACACAATTAACCATAACGTGACACTAGGTTTTTATTTAATAAATTACTTATGTACAAAAGTAATCAAAGAAAGTTCGCGTTCTCTAATTGTAACAATAATAAAAATAAAACAAATGTTCAGTACCTCGTAGCACAAGATTTACACTAACAACCGTGTGCCTCTAGAGTTTTGATCGATTAATCCCGATACGTAACTCTCTGACTTCTGATTCTATCACGCGAATTCAAAACGCGTTCCCGAAATTACGTTCTATTAAATAAGACGACGCGAGTTCCTGATCGGCGTCGAATTTAGCGGCGTCCTAATGAACATAGACACGTAGATACCGGAGCAACACACTCTACTACGACGCGACTCTCTAAACGGCGGCGACGTCGTTACAGGCGTCCCGATGGTCACAGCTAAATATTTATCGGAACGGCGTCCGTTTTGACAGCGAAACACGGACCTCGGATCGGTGTCGGAGTTAAAAGCGTCCCGTGATACATAAACGCGAGTCCTGGATCGATCCCGAAGTTAACAGCGTCCCGAGGGATACACAAATGCGAGTCCTGGATTGATCGCGAAGTTAACAGCGTCCTGTGGGATACGCAAACGTGGGTCCTGGATCGATCGCGAAGTTAACAGCGTCCCGAGGGATACACAAATGCGAGTCCCGGATCTATCGCGAAGTTAACAGCGTCCCGAGGGATATACAAATGCGAGTCCCGGATCTATCGCGAAGTTAACAGCGTCCCGAGGGATATACAAATGCGAGTCCCGGATCTATCGCGAAGTTAACAGCGTCCCGAGGGATATACAAATGCGAGTCCCGGATCTATCGTGAAGTTAACAGCGTCCCGAGGGATATACAAATGCGAGTCCCGGATCGACGTTGACGTTAGCGACGTCTCGGCGAGTTGTACGTCGTTCGGATGAGCGCAGCCCGCACACACACCGCCCGGTCAGGACAGCCTCGGGATTTCGACGAGATCCCGTCCAGCGTCACTGAAGCAGGGTGTCGTCCGGACGACACACCTAGAAAAATACGGGAGCTACAAAACCAGCTTCGGGATTTGGGCGAGATCTTGTTCTAGCTCCATGAACATTCGCGACTCGTGCGTGTACTGAACTACCCCGACTGTCCCTTAAGAAGATGAATTAATTATTAGCCCGTAATTAGCTTTCCCCGAGAGATACACTGAACCGGAGCAGATGTCCAACCAAACCAAACCTTTAAAAGAAAAGGACATCGTTCCTGGCGACCTGCCCGTAGCACAGCGTAGTCCCTTTCTGCCTGCTCGGCAATCCTGGCAATTTTAATATTAATGAAGAAAACTACGAACTCTCGTCTCATCAACCGAAGGATACGTCAGACCGGAGCAGATGTCAGACAACCTTTAAAAGAAAAGGACATCGTTCCTGGCGACCTGCCCGTAGCACAACATAGTCCCTCCTTGCCTGGTCGGCAATGGTTGTTCTCCCGCGCTTTTAATATCCTAACAATCCCGTCAACTAACTCCCTTATCCCTATAACACGTCCAGGTAGTCGAGTAAACGCTTAATAACTATAAAAATAATACGACCTACCCTCAATCACTTTGGCAGTGGGTGCTTACCTTATACAGTGCGGCGACAGGCGGCTGGCAGCAGGACACTTGGCAGGGCACTCCGGACTCGAACCTCACTGTTTTGCGTGCGACCACAAACTAACTAACTGGAGTTGCTGCAGCCAAGGTACTCGACTGACGCTCCCCTCCACTCAACCTGCACTAGCAGAGTAGGGCGAGCGGCGCAAACGTTTCGGTTTTTCGCATTAAACTATAGCGACCAAAACCGATCAAAACTCTCTTACAAAATGGCAATTAAATATTTAACTTATTTAATTCAACAATAGGAACACTAATGAAGTTCATTACAATAATGAGTTAACAATAAAATACATTGACTGTCATTATTAAAAGAGAATGAAGTCTCTATTATTATAGTATAATATTAACACAATATACAGGGTGTCCTAGAAATTTCATTAACTTCATTACACGCGATTTTGGAGCGGTATTTTTTTGTAACGTCGTGTCGCGCTCCACAACGCATCAGGAACCTGTTACTGAAGAACGACGATCATAATGACGACAAAATTATAAATGATTTATAATTTGCAAATAAATTATCTATAATCGCGACGTGTTTAGCTCCAGCCGTCGCGATTTCGTCGGTCGCCAACAGTAGTATCTCCAACTGGTATGTTCGTAGCGCCGCGCGATCTCGATCGGGACGTGTTCGCTCCAGCCGTCGCGCTCCTAGAGTTGTAGTTACCTGTCGCGAACAGAAGTAACTGCTGCAACTGATTATCGACGCTCGACCTCGGCGGCCACGTACTTCGTTCCAGCAGTCGCTGGAAGCCTTCTAGTGTTTCGGTTTTCCTGTCGCGATTTGGTCGGTTACTATTGGCGTTGGTGCTCCCGTAGCCGTCGCTACGTTACTTTCGAAATAGCGATTTTTGGTATGTACTAGGCATGGTATAAAATAATGTTGTTTGAAAGATGAAACGCAAAAGCAAATAAAATAAAATAAAATTATTTTATTTGCTTTTATACATGTATATAAGTTTTATTGTTTATATCTATTTTTAAGGTTAGGTTAGACCAATAAACAATTTTTTTGACAGTGGTTTGGACTTTGTTCTTGATTTTAACATTAAATATATTATATTGCAATACACATAAATATGACCCGTTCATTTTATTTAAACGAAAATTAACAAAGAAAAAAAAATAACAAGGAATGTCATCGATTTTCTAAAAAAGAGATAGATTGGCTATACACGATTATAAACTCGATATTTGGAAAATGAGTGGCGGATAAAAGTTACATTAATCTACAAATATAGATAAGTTAGATATATTTTTAGCGAGGACCGCAACAGTTTGGAAGTCGGAACCTCGGTTACAAAATCGCGGTATTTTGTCGCGGTATTTTTCTGGAACGGTCGCTATTTGCTGTCCTTCTTTCACGCAGTTGAGCAGCTCTGAACTGTTCAAGAACGCGATACTCTCACTCCATTCAATTGAGTCATAAAGCTCCAGAACTGTTCCGCGCCATATGGAGGCACCAGGCTATCGCGCACCGCTCCTTTCAGAACCGTTCTCGAGTAACCCCAGGGCGTAAAGCCTGGAACTCGAAGTTCGCGAATTGAGGACAGCAATTGTAACGCGACTCACGGGGAACCGGTATTCCCATCACTATTTCAGACTAATAACTAATCCAGTCAACAGGTAAAAATTTTATCATATTATGACATGTATTGACTATTTCGGTTTCAAATATCTGGGGAACCATTACTCATAGCGATTTTTCCCAAGAGACCATTTTTACGTAAAAAATGACAGAATATATGTATATTATATTTTTTTACTCAATAGCGTACTACAGGTACAGACGAAAAGTAATTATTCTTCTAAACCTTTTTAAAGTTTTAAACTGTTAAAAAAAAGTAGTAGTAAAAAAGTGAAGGTGGCGACTCCTACAAGTAGGAGTCATACTGACATCGAATTTCTCATGTTAAAAAATACCCAGACATCAAGTTTCTCGAATACAATTCTTACCATTCTCTGTATACAAAGAATATTGATTTCATTTTCGTATAATGCTATTTAATTAGATAAACCCTATGGATTTGTCTTCTTACTATTATTCTTATTTAGGTGCAGCAGCCACGACTAGCCATACAGAGGTGGAAATTATAATATTTTTGGCAATAATGTTACATAAAGCACCGGCCGCCTTTGGACTAGTCACTTTTCTAATGCATGAAGGCTTAGAGAGGTATGAATACAAGCATTGCTTTTATATTCTATAATTTTTTTACATCTTTAAATTGTAGACAGAGAATTAGAAAGCATTTGCTAATATTTTCATTAGCCGCACCAATCTTAACAATAGTAACGTATTTTGGAATTGGTCAAAAGCAGAAAGAAACTCTGAATTCGTTTAACGCGACTGGTAGTAATTAATTAAATTTAATAAATCTTAAAATAAAAATTGTATTATTTTAGGTATTGCCATGCTTTTTTCAGCAGGGACATTTTTATATGTAGCAACGGTACATGTTTTAGCAGACTTACTGCATAAATCACAACATGATAGCTCCTATACTAAACTGCCTCAAGTAGAATCAGGTAAAACGAACCCATCGCACTCAGCTGGTGCTCTGTCTTTTACAGAATTAATATATTTGGTAGTTGGATGTATATGTCCTTTAATAATATCACTAGGACATCGTGATTAGTAGTTGTTAGTAGAATTAATGATTATAATAAACCGAAGGTTGTTATACTAAGGATAAGAGATGTATAATATGTAATGAGGATAAAAAAAATATTTATAAATTACGTAAAAAACTATTTTCAAATTGTCTAAGAGCTAGCAACGTTTTCGAGAAAGTATTTTAAGACGTCTGGCTCTTTGATATATCTTCTACTATGCTCTCTGGAACAGCATGCGGCCCGTCTGTTTGCCGATACCCGTTGCGTTCACTGCTGCGCATCGGAAGATCCTATATTTTTTTTTAATTTAGTCCTATAAATTCTAGTACTGAATATAAATCGAATATGTCTCCATAGCGCAGTGCGTAGAGTTTCCGCCTATGAACCGATGATTCAGAGTTCGAATCCGGGTCAGGGCAAAGACTTTTATTTTATTTTCGTTTATATTCTGATAGTAAAGTATTAAATAATTCTGGTGATTAAAAAAAAACAAATATTTAATACTTTACTTACTAGAATATAAACGAAAATAAAATAAAAAAGTATTTGTCCTGACCCGGATTCGAACTCTGAATACTCGGTTCGTAGTCGGAAACTCTACGCACTGCGCTATCGAGACATGTTCGATTTATATTCAATACTAGAATTTAAAGGACTAATAATAATAATGTAGGCAACGCAACGTTTACCGGCAGCCAGACGGGCCGCATGCTGTTCTAGAGAGCATAGTAAAAGATATATCACAGAGCCAGACGTCTTAAAATACTTGTTTTTCCGACGTTGCTAGCTCTCGTACTATAACAAATTAGACTAATTTCGCGTTCATAATGTGTGTTAAATATAAAAATATTTACTAAAAGTAACTTTGACATTCCTTAAGTTATTGAACATCTATAAATTATTATTTATAGATGAGATATATTATGAAATGTAATTTTATAAAAGCTGGAATTTATATAGTTCCTTTCAACTGGCTGTTTTAAAACAGAGATGAGTGAATTGTTTCCAAACTCTTTGTTAAACAGAGACTTATCAAATAAGTTACTAAAAAATTGTATTCTAGTCAAAATGCACAAGATACAAATCATTAACATGAAGTTGTACAAAAAAAATCTAGATTATTGTACTAAATAAAATATTTTCAGTTGGTTTGAAATCTACAATACTTCGAAAATCTCATTCTCTGTCAAAAAGCAGTTATGTGATGTATAGATTGTATCTTTATTTTTATATTATAAAACAGTTTTTAGTTATTATTATTCTATACTTTGCTATCAGATATTTATATATATAACCATTTATGTATATCATTATTGTATATTTCTTGTAAATTAATACATTGTTTGACTTTTTCAGATTACTTATATATATATTTTCAGTTGGGATCAATTAAAACAAGCCAAAATATTAAACTTTTTATTATAAATAATAAGTAATTAACAAAAAGGTAACAACAAAATCCTTAACAGCCATTTATATTATAAAGAACAAATAAATAAATACAAGAATATTTATTACAATTCAAACAAAGACAAAAGTATCCAAAACAGAAGTTAATGTAAATATTTAGGGATTGTTCGTGGATAGGAAAGTAAATATTAAACTTACGAAAATAAATAAAATATACTCTTTTCTGTACAATTATTTAACAACTTTTTTAAAAGTTATAAAAATAGGCCAATTATATTTTCTATACTTTTGCTAGGAATACTTCTTTAGACTATATAGGATTTTATAAATCAATCAATGTGATTTTGTGCGGTACTAACTTTTATATTAAAATATAAACTGTCATTTACAGAAAAGTAACTTTTCTTTTGAGTGAAGAGAGGCGTTAAACATATTCATTAATTTGTACTTAGTTTTGTAATATTACCTATTAAAGTACCTATTTATATATAATAATTTAGTCTATTCTTAGAAATTTACAATATTTAAATATTGGTATAAAATAGCCAATCACATAATAATTACTGAATATATACAGTAATGTAATAAATATTATTACAGATTAAAATCCCTCATAAGTAAAAAGGTTATTTTTTAATTACATCGAAATCTATCAGATCTGTCATTTTTTTTTCATATCCTCATATCATAAAAATGTCTAATCAATGTTTTCTAATGATCCAAGTAGAGATAGTTTTCGTATCACCTCTGCCTTTTGATTATCGTTTAGTTTTTCAATTAAGACGTCAACTGCATCAAGTGTCATATCAGGACATTCCTATAAAATATAAGTTATTTAATTTGTGCAGACAAAGAATATACAGGGTGGTGCCTCTCATACGCCGCGGAGGCTCCAAGAAGAACGATAGTTTGTATTGAAATGAAATTCTGTGAGCATATATGAGCATATTCAAATCACCTTTTAAAAATATGGAGAGGGTGTCCCCAAAAAAAGTTACATATCAAAGTTGTGTTTTTTGTAATGGAACACCCAATATATTAATTGACTTTCGGATTCTGGGAGAAAAATAAAGGTGAGTTTTTTAAGAGAAGTATATGACTAAAATGTGAAGTTTTTGACATATTTAACATTTTCTAGAAATAAAGAAAAAAATTTAAATTACAATAAAAGCTACCTAAATTGGAATTTACCCCGTATAGCCTTTATATTATAGTATTTTATATATAGTACTTTAAATCAAATTAAAACTTGATTCCTACCCCTTAAACAAAAGATTTTCCTAGATATTTTCATTTACATGATTTGATCTGAGTAGATCTTTATTATTTGATAAAATCTAGTTGGCTTTGATATGTCTGATGTTACTTCAACAAGCTGTCTAATTAGTCCAACTTTACCAACTAATTATCATTTTGTGTCACAAAAAAAAATTCTCAGAAATTTGCAGAAAATGCAAACTTATCCTACATTAGAGAGAATTAATATGATTTTATTAGTTGGTGAATGCAGTTTGCATTCACCAATTAATAGAATACTTAAATGCACATGGTTTTTTCTAGTCTGGGTTTTTTATGGGGTTTATGGGGATATGTTAAAGACAGTGTTTACAAAACTCGACCATTAATAACCATATTTTGACCATATTGTAGCTGCTTTTCGAGGTAGAACTCCACATATGCCTTTTAAAATGAAAAGATCCTTTTGAAAAGACAATCATTTTATACAGTTAACAGGAAAGGAAGCATTTTGAGTATTTGACTTCATCTAGCTAATTTTTGTCCCATAATTATAGGTTTATATCTAGTTTTAATTCTGTAATAATTAAAATATGTTTTTACGTTTAACAACGTGTATCTTTTTACTACCGTTGAGTATTTTACTCTGCAATCTTTAGTTTTTGTTAAATTAACAAAAGGTATATCACACAGCCACCTTAGATTTCTTCCAATAATAAAGATCTACTTACGCAAAATCATAAAAATTAAAATATCTAAGAAAATCTGTCTGAGGGGTAGGCAACCTTAATAATATTTGAAGATATATAAATTCCCCATTGAACAGCGGAAAAATATACTGGGTGTTCCATTTAAAATAAAGTAGTAAGTTGCTTTTAAAAGTGACTAATGTTCCATATTAATTTTGGTTCACCCTGTATAACTTTTCGGGTCAAATTTCAATTTGGTTTAACGTACAATGGTTACTGTAATTAAATATCAGGCTATACAAGGTCAACTAAAATTTAGGTAGCTGTTAGGTGCTCTAATTTGATCTACTTTGTATCTCTTGGCGTTTCTGAGACGCCATCGCCAGTGCTGAGAGTTGAATTTGAAAAACCCAGTATATTAGGATGAATACTTACTTCTAATAATTCTTTAATTTGACTTAAACCCGAATCCTTTTTAACAGCATGGATGTTATGACTAATGATTGATTTTTCAGCTGGCCTACTTAATTGATCTTCTAACCATTCTACTACCACTTCATTTTTGTCCCACTTGTAACTCTTTAAAATTAAATAAAAAAGTTAATTTATATTGCCATTTGAAGTTATCCAAATTAACTTACTTCTGTTGCTCCTTTATCTTCTATAAACCATCTCCTTAACATAGCTTCACTTTGTCCTAAGGCAATTTCAGGTTGAGCTTCTAAGAGAGCTTTTACAATTCGATCTTGAAGTAATCTTCTTCTTAGCCTCCAGTAAAAGTGATTTCGTGCTTTTTTCCATGGCACAATTTCCTGTAATTAACTTACAGTCTTAATCATTATAAAAAAAATAAACAAACTAGAACTCACAGAAATTGCACCTTTTTCAAGCATTCTTTCGGGTGTATCATGGAGATCGGCAAAATGCAATGAAACTTGATGATACATAGGAACTAAAAGATTTTCCCTTTCTTTTACTTTTTGTTCTAATTCTTTAATTTCTTTCGGTTTTTCTCTTTCCGGCACTGGTTGGCCAGGTGTTATACTTGAAGATCTGCAGTTAATATAATACAAATATTACATACAAATATTGTAACGAATAAAATATACAGGGTGAATTTTTAAAACGTGACAAAGTATTGCAATGCTATGGTGTGGATTCTGTTAATAATATCTATAAGATTTTATTACAATTTACATTACAACACATTAGTCACATAAAATGTTTTATAGAAATATTTTTGTTATTTATATATCGTTTTGTAAATTTAAAAAACACCCTGTATATAATGTGTGTAAAATAAAGTATATACAGGGTGGTCCGAACTGTATTCCGGAAACTTCGGCAACATATTCTGCAGATAAAAATAAGTAAAAAAGTTCTTATAAGTGTATGTCTTAAAATGCTTAGTTTCGGAAATACAGGGTGTAGAAATTTCATTTTTGTTTCGATTTTTTCCAAATAATTTCTGGAGTAACGTCAATATTTAGATGAAAATTGGTGTCTGGAAGTTTTTTTGACATGAGAAATTTGATTTCGATGTCAATATGGCTCCTACTTGTAGAGGGCGCCACCTATCATATTTTTTAACTGGTTTGAAGAGTAATAACTTTTCGTTCGTACCTGCATAAAACTAGATAGTTAAAAAATATACATTTACGACGTTTTTTACGTAAAAAAGGTCTCTGGGTAAAAATCGCTACGAGTAATGGTTCTCGAGATATTTGGAATCGAAATTACCAATACCTGTCATCATTAAACATGTTGACTAAATAGTTATTAGACTAAAATCATAAATTTGAAATGTTTTTAGTTGGTTTGGTTGTTTTATCATCATTTTTTCGAAGAAAAGTTTATGATTAGTTTAAAAAAATAAAAAGTTCCCAAATTTCTCATTTCAGTCAAATAACTATTTACTCAACATGTTTATTTTTAGTCAATAATGACATGTATTGACTATTTTGTTATTGTAAATATCTTGAGAACGGTTGCTCGTAGCGATTTTTACCAAGAGACATTTTTTAAAATCACGGAAATGTATATTTTTTCACTCAGTAGTTTTATACAGGTACGGACAAAAAGTTATTACTCTTTAAAACAGCTAAAACACATGTAGGTGGCGCTCCCTACGAATAGGAGTCATATTGACATCAAAATCAAATTTCTCATGTCAAAAGACTCCCAAACACCAATTTTTATACAAATATTGACGTTTCTTCAGAAATTATTTGGAAAAAATCGAAATAAAAATGAAACTCTACACCCTGTATCTCCGAAACTAAGCATTTTAGGACATACAATTATATGAACTTTTTTACTTATTTTTATCAGTAAAATAAGTTTCCGGAATACAGTTTGGACCACCCTGTATACAGGGTGTATCTTAATAAGTGCAAATATTTTTAAGAGTGGTATATTTCGACCCCAGAACACGTCCATGAGTTTATTCGCGAAAATATTTTATTAAAAATTTGAAATTTTTTGAAAAATTATTTGGATTTTTTTTAATTAGATAAAAAATATAATGTCTTCATCATATGGCAACATAGGTAGTAGATTAAATTTACAAGAAAGAAAACCTATCCAGTGTTTTTTTTTAATTTTTAAAGTAAAATATCTCAGTTATTTTGGACTTATTTGAAAAAAAAAAGAAAATATGCTTCATTTGTCGAGATCTACCAGCCCTGAAAATATTCGCACTTATTTAAGACACCCTGTATATATAACAATTTATAGGTGTAATTGTACCTTTCTCTGACGGGCTGTGCATCTTGGAACTTCTTAATTTGTTCTCCCAGATCTTTCAACACTGGGTCTAATCTGTGCATCGTTTTAAGTAAATCCTTCTTTTTGTACTTAACCTCCACAATACCTTCTGGTTCAAGAACACCACCTCTAGCTATGGGGTCTGCATACATCTCCATATATCTACAAAAAATATTTATATATTTATATAAAGTAATAAGGAATTCATTTTAATTCTTCAACTGTATAAAATATTAACCTAGAATTAATTGTGGGATCTACTACAGCCCATGCTCCTCCTCTCAGTTCGCCATTAGGGGGAATATATACAATAATAGGTTGTGTATATCTTCTCAGTCCATCAACAATATAGGCACCAAATTTCATGATTTCTTCATACATATCTATAAGAACAAAATATTGTACCTATACTGCTGAAATATGTTATGGTCAAACATTACCTTTCATTCCTCCACTAAAACCTCTCCAATTGGCAAAAATGAATAATGGCAGATCTTCTCTAGAAAAGTCTTGGATAGCTTGAGCAGTTTTGTAAGCAGAATCAGGAAACCATACTATAAATTTAAAGTAGGATATTTTTAGAATAAGATTATTACTCTAGTATTATACAGGGTGGTTCTAACTGTATTCCGGAAACTTCGGCAGCATATTCTGCAGATCAAAATAAGTAAAAAAGTTCGTATAAATGTATGTCCTAAAATGCTTAGTTTCGGAGATACAGGGTGTAGAAGTTTCATTTCTATTTCGATTTTTTCCAAATAATTTTTAAAATAAATTAACGTCAATATTTAGGTGAAAATTGGTATCTGTAGTTTTTTGACATGAGCAATTTATTCTGATGTCATATGACTCCTATTTGTAGGGGGCGCCACCTACATGTATTTTAACTGTTTTGAGGAGTAATAACTTTTCGTCCGTATCTGTATAAAACTACTAGGTGAAAAAATATACATTTCCGTGATTTTTTTACATAAAAAATGTCTAGTAAAAATCGCTACGAGCAACCGTTCTCAAGATATTTAGAATGAAAATAGTCAATACATGTCATTATTGACATGCAAATGAAAATTATAAATTTGTAAACTTTTATTTTTTTTGGCACAAAAAAATTTCAAATTTATGATTTCAGTCTAATAACAGTATAGTCAACATGTTTAATTTATGTCAATGACGACCGGTAATGATAATTTCGATTCCAAATATATCAAAAACTATTACTCGTAGCGATTTTTACCAAAGGACATTTTTTACGTAAAAAACGTCGTAAATGTATATTTTTTTGACTCAGTAGTTTTATACAGGTATGGACGAAAAGTTGTTACTCTTCAAACCAATACGCTCCATTAGTGGTGACGTCATATTGCGGAAGGTCAGTGTCGCAAAATCTAAACAAAGCATGAATTAACCCGTTTTTTTTTCTCGTTTATTATTATATTACTGTTTTCTTAAGGATAATTGTATTTTTCCAAGTAAGTACATTTAATTTTGAACCATACCAGTGCACTTTATAGTTAATAAATTCTATAATACTATGGAAATTCGTGTTATTTATTGTTTTAACATAACCTCATATTACTTATCCCTATATGTATCCTTTTATGTAATTATACCTATAGTAAACGCTTATATACTTACTCAGAAAGATACAAATATCTTTTGAACAGAGTAATATAATAAGAAATTAAGAAAAATTAGATTATCCCATTATATTTTTGCTTTGTTTGGATTTTGCGACACTGACCTTCTGCTACATGACGTCACACTAATGGAGCGTATTAAAAAATACGTAGATTGCGCCCTCTACAAGTAGGAGTCATATTGCCATCAAAATCAAATTTCTCATGTCAAAAAATTCCCAGAAACCAGTTTTCATCCAAATATTGACGTTACTTCAGAAATTATTGGGAAAAAATCGAAGTAAAAATGAAACTTCTACACCATGTATCTCCGAAACTATGCATTTTAGGACATACATTTACACAAACTTTTTTACTTATATAGTAAACGCTTGTATAGAACATGCTGCCGAAGTTTCCGGAATACAGTTCGGACTTCGGACCACCCTGTATAATTTAATACTTCAAACTAATTTAGACTGAAGGACTAGTGAATAATAGTAATGTTATGAAATAGGATACCTTGACCAGCTTGTGACACTGTTTTGGCTTCCGAATCAAGATTTGCTGGATCAGCCGGTAAATTTAATTCAACTGTCCTAGTTTCAACAGCAATTACACCTACAGGTATGCCACCTGAAAAATTGAAATTTGTTAATATTATTTTGAAAGGTATTAATGATAAATGTTCTATTTGCTGAGAATTACTTATGGTAAAAATCTGAAATTTTGTTTGCTTATATAAACGTATTAGCCGTCTGTATAAAATATTTTTAGTCATGCAGTGTTATCAGGCTCTACTCATATCGCTACGAGTAAATCTGGCAACATATAAGAAAAATATTTTATACTTGTATATAAAATACAAAAGATTTATAATATATTTAATCAGAATAATTATTTATTTCATATTTGCTAATTTTAAAACTGTAGACCGTGCTGGCAACTGTTACTTTTGGGTCGGTATTTACATGTGTGGAAGTAAATCGCATAAGGGATCTTATTAAGTCGGAGTAAGAGAAATGCGACGGTGTGCTGTTGCTTTGTTGCCGGTACGCCTTTCGCTATCAAGTAAAATTACGATCGCAAACCGCTTATCTTTAAAACTTTTTTTCGAAAAGGTAACTAAATAAAAAAAACGTCAGTAATCGCGATAATTTAAAAACTCAACTTTTTTACACATAACACGCCATAACTTAAGAACTACTTTAGATATTATATATAAGTTTTTTGTTTGCATTCTAAAATTTAAACAACCCATCCATTTACTTTTAGTGCATAGTAGTTTTCAGCAATCGTGTAACTTTTTTATTTATAAAGATTTTTGCGTACTGTCTGCGAAGAAAGTTTTTGAAAAACTACAATCAATCATTTCTAATAGATTTCGAGATATCGATTTTCGAATTCAGAGTTTTAATAGCGCGACCACTATCGAACACCAACTCAATTCCGCTTATTTTTACCAAAAATGCAAGTGTTTCCAACTTGCACTTAAAACTTTCAAGCTATAGGGAAAATTACAACGACTCGTTAATAAAGAAACAAATAAAGTATCACGAGACGTAATTAAATCGTGAAGCTGAACGCATGATGTACACCTTTCCCTAGAACTTTAAGTACTGACGTACTGATTGGGTCAACCGGTCCGATAGCGACACATCTGCTATATCCCCTGCCACGTCTCTTAGCAATGTGCACAGTTTCTCGGTTTATTTCATATGTTTGGCAACATGTTTACTGTTTCCTCTTTGTTCAGTACATTATAAACTTTGAATAAGAAGAATAAGGAAGGAGCATATCAAAAATCTTAGGTACACCGCGATGGGCCTCAAATATGGCCGACTTAAATTCCGGTTTATCAGTGTCGTTCTAATTTTATTTAAAAAATGTAAAACTATGATGTCGGGTAGACGTGGGGTATACTCAATAAATTTGTTGTTTTATTTTACGTTGTGAATAAATGTTGGGAGTTATTAAAATTGTTATAAAAATACATAATTCTAATAAAAATAGATAAGTTATAATAAGTATGTATTAACACAAACATCCGATACGCTACTGAAGCAGGTAAGTCAAATTAACGTATCTAAATTCTTTGACATCTAATCTTTGACAAGTAATAAATAAAAGCTAAAATGCACGAAAAATATAATTTAGTTAATTTAAGTGAATTTCATAAATGATCGGTTTACTACACGTCTGTATATTATATAGTCACTTACTAGCGAAAAGTTGTTCCATTATTTCACTCAATTTTTGCCGAGATCTACCGCACGCTACACAACCAACTATTTTAGAGTCTTTTGCGATAAATCGCGATAGTGTCACTATTAATATAAGTTCTGCCACAATTTCCATCTAGATTTGCTACCTTTATACAACTATCAGTAGTAGAATAAATAATAAATAACATAAAATAAGCTCCGTAAAGACTGACAAATCCACAAAATTTCAAATCAAATTCAAATGTGTCAAATGAATCGTTAAACAGAACTGTCAAGGATCCCCACCCTAGAGTGCTTTTTCCGCCCTCCATGCATGAATACATGGATAGCATTATGCTCCTTCCTTAGTCTTCTTATTCAAAGATTATAAACGCATTGTACTCTTCTTACATACGGAAATCTCGACTCAAGACTAACCTGTGCCAGCCCTTAGTATGTATTTTGTTTTTGAACTTATTAATATTGACTTTAATTTCCTAACTGTTTATAAAAATGGATGTTGGATTTTTACTTACCTAATTTTGCTCTTCCTGTTACTACAGTTTGAGCCCAAGGTCTTAGAATTTCATCCCATGATCCCCTGTCGAAAAAGCCCGATTCCCATACGGTTGGGTCGTTGGGATTTTCGCGTCCAGCCAGCATCCATCTCAAATATTAAAAATTATTTAATATTTAGAATTTTTCTAAATATACACATTATGAGGACCATGTTTGTCAGTATGTGACAAATATATGTGTTTCAACATTATTTTACAAGGTTTATTTTAAACGTATTTTTATAAGGAATAATTTTAATACATACCTAGGATCGTACGGCGTTTTCGTAGGTACATAATCTATATTTCTATTGATGGGATCAGATGACTTAATTATTGGCAGTGGAGACATTTTATCTTTAGGAACATATGAAAGCCATCTCAAAATTGTGTATATACCATCTAAAATAATATCGGTTCATAATATTCAATACAGTTAATTAATAATAAATTAATTGGATACCTAAATCAGACTGTTCAGTTTTATGCGAGATTCCATTGTTATACATAATTTGAATTCCACCTAGTTGGTTATTCGAAGCATACACTTCTCTACCGAGAAGTTTATTTAAAGCACTATACCTATAAAATTCAAATAAAATTAGTGTTTCTACGACAATATTAAAGTAGTTATTTCACATAGCTCTTCCTTAATAAATTTTGAAATTTTCTAAACAATATGAGCTGATTTCAGACACATCCGAAAGGGGATATGAGATAAATAATGATGTAGTATTGTTGAACGATCGTTGTATCACAGATTATACAGATTGTAAACTTTGTTTTTTCTTTCTTGTTTTTCGTGGTTCCAATTTTCGGAATCGGGCACTAGTTAGGTTACTAGTTTGCGCACATAGCACGCCTCTAAAATTGTGCACAGCGCCTGACCGGCCCAGTTATTAGAAAGATATGGGAAAACCGAATAGCGTCATGCAGTATTTACGCGTACCTTATTTTGACAGTTACGATATATGTTACGATATGCGCAAGTCAATTTTTAACGCAACGCCCGCTAATAACGTTACCGCCTGACGTAATTTGGGGATCAATTACACCCAAGAAGGGTAAGGTTAACTGTCTTTGAATTACACCAAGCGCTATTTCTAAATAACGTTTAAAAATTGCTTAAATGGGCATGTGCGGGTATTTGACAACCGGGGCCGGCCGGCGAGATCTTTTATTTTAGGTTATGTTTGAATTGTTTTGAATTATTACTTTAGTTTTATTAGGTAATTTGATATTTAAGGAGCTGGGATTAGTTTTAATTAAATAAATATGGCCCAAAATATGGATCCCACCTCTTCCAATATTAAAGAACCTATAAAGAGGCTTAGGTTTATAGCAGATGACGACTTAGCCCTTCTAAGAGAATTTGTTGCCCTAAACCCACTGACAGACGTTGAACAATAAAGCACTGGAAATAAGCACTTTAGCCCTTTAGTTTTAAAATACCTAGTAAACAAAACAATTTCAAAGTTTTAAATTCAAAGTTAGGTTAAATTTAAATAGCGGACGCGACGCGAACAGAATTCTTTCCGATCCGATAAGTATAAATGAAGAGAGTTAATACCACCTCACGTAAAGGAAATAACATCTGGCCTTATTAACGTCCATGCACGCTATTCGGTTTACCGATATCTTTCTGTTAAGCTGTTTATTGTTATTTTACCTAAGTTTATTTTTGCATACAGGAAATTTTACTCGTTTGCTCATCGTCATAAAAAACTATTTTCGTACCACGAATTAGGGATAAGATTTTTATCTGTATACATATAGTATACCTAATCTGTGGTTGTATCGACTATAGGCTTGATAATTGTTTTGAGTAGTTTATTATGACATAGCCATGATTCAATATTATTTCAATGCGATCAACATGAACGGTAACTAGGACCGCGTGAAATAAGGTGTTCGGACAGTTCTGATTTCTGCCGTACCGAGCGCTGCTGCCGGAATTTAAAAAAACCAGTTGAAACGCACCAAGCCTATACCAACTTTAAAAATATAATTTTTGAATTCTTTGACGCCTTATATTGAAAAATGTTATATGAGAAGAACTAGTATTGTACTATCATTATACAAGGAGTCAGTCTTCGTTGTTGTAGAAGATTACGAACTATATGATCTATTCCGTGAAAGAATATAATGAAAGTGATAGCTATTTTTTATGTTGCCTGTCGAAAATATATATTCTAGAACACCTTATATATTTATAGATTTATGGAAATGTTATTTACCCTGTCAGAACTATATAGGAGTTTTCAATTTGAATTAATCTCTGACCCAACCTAACTAGATATGAGCCAATACCAATCGCTCTACAGCTAACCATAGAAATAGTGACAATTTCGTCATATGCGGTTGATGTTTCACCTAAAATAACATTGTTATACATGTTTATTTCTTAAAATAACGAATAATTGAAACTTACCTGCAATCATACCCGCATACTTCAAATTTTCGACGCCTAATCCATCTTCTTTACCAATAATATCTGTGATTTTGTAACGAGATTCTCCCTCATCATCTATTAACTCAGATCTTACCTATTTAAGAAAGAGTTATAAAATTTGTTGTTGGTATATCTTTTGAATAAAAAGATTAAGGAAGGAGCATGTCAAAAATCTTAGATCCACCGCGATGGGACTCAAATATGGCCGACTTAAATTCCGGTTTATCAGTGCCGTTCTAATTTTATTTAAAAAGTGTAAACTTATGATGTAGGGTAGATGTGGGGTAGACTCAATAATATGTTGTTTTATTTTACGTTGTGAATAAATGTTGGTAGTTATTAAAATTGTTACAAAAATATATAATTCTAATAAAAATAGATAAGTTATAATAATTATTTATTAACACAAACATCCGATACGCTACTGAAGCAGGTAAATCAAATTAACGTATATAAATTCTTTGACATCTAATCTTTGACAAGTAGTAAATAAAAGCAAAAATGCAAGAAAATATACAGGGTGGCGCACCTCATTCGCCTCGGTTGATTATACGAAAACGGAAAGATGTAGAAACAAAATATTTTATGGGTATATGTGGGGAGACAATGTGCATAATTTAAAATTATTTTGAAATATACAGGGTGTTTCAGAACTAAGATCCATACCAAAGTTATATTTTTTTCTTATGGAACACCCAGTATTTTATTTCATTTTTGGATTCTTGGGCCCAAAAAAAGGCATTTATTATAAGGGTTAAATGTTTAAAATCTTTAGTTTTTGAGATATATAAACATATTTAAATTTGCATGTTACAATAGAATAGACTATTAACACCCTGTACATTACTTTTTACGAGTTTAAAGGTAGAGAAATAAACTTTACTGAAAAATGGTATTGGTTCCTTAAATTTATACAGGGCTATCAAAAGTTGCTGATCTATTTTAAGGACATATTTTAATATAAAATAATAATAAAGAATAAAAAAACTTCGTTATTTCAAATGCAACGCCCTGTATTTTTTTGGATAAATCGAAGCAGATTCAAATGCTCTTTCAAACTATATTAGGGTTTCCTATACCTATCTAGCTCAGATTTTGAATAAAAAGCGATTTTTAAATAAAATTGCAATCAAGATGGCTGGTGTCGCCATGGCAATTTTCTAGTGACAGTTAGTAACTATTTTCAAAGTCGACATTAGTTTATGGATATTATTATTTATAATTTATAACAGTTTACTTAAATTTACCTACAATAGTTTAATAACTAAGTATTCATTATTTTATCAAGAAAAATAAAGCAGTATCTGCTGGCGGAACGAATAGATATGTTACTAGTGATATTATTTTGTGAGGAAAATTGTTCAAGGGTTTATGCTCAAAGATATCCAAATAGGAATATTTCTGATAAGCGTTTCTTTGAAAAACTTCTTGTCCTATTTCGCAGAGATGGTAGTGTGGTTTATAAAAAACTTATTAGATTAGGCAGAAACCTGTCGTTGGAAGTGAATAAAATGAATTTGCCGAATTGGCTGTTTTATAGAAAATCCATATATCTACAAGTCATGGTAAAATAATTCAAAGAACTACTTCTTCGTTTTTCTTGATGGAATAATATACAAATATTTAATAAATATTATTTATTAAACTACTGTAGGTAAATTAAATAAAAGTAAACTGGTATAAATTTAAATAAGTCCATAACTAATTCCGATTTTGAAAATAGCTACTAACTGTCACTAGAAACTTTCCATGACAACACTAGCCATCTTGATTACAATTTTATTGAAAAATCCATTTTTATTCAAAATCTGAGCCAGATAGGTATAGGAAACCCTAATATAGTTTGAAAGAGCATTTAAATCTGCTTCGACTTATTTAAAAAAATACATAGTGTTGCATTTGAAATAACGAAGTTTTTATGTAAAGTAAATATTTAAAATAGACCAGCAATTTTTGATACCCCTGTATACATTTAAGGAAGGAATAACATTTTTCTGTAAAATTTATTTCTCTACCTTTAAACTCAGCACAAGAACTAATTCTGAAAAGTAATGTACAGGGTGTTAATAATCTATTTTATTGTAGCATGCAAATTTAAATATCTTTAAATATCCCAAAAACCAAAGTTTTAAACATATTTAACCCTTATAATAAATACCTTTTTTTGGGTCCAAGAATCCAAAAATGAAATAAAATACCAGGTGTTCCATAAGAAAAAATATAACTTTGGTATGTATCTTAGTTCTGAAACACCCTGTACATTTCAAAATAATTTTAAATTGTGCACATTACCTCCCCACATATACCCATAAAATATTTTGTTTCTACATCTTTCCGTTTTCGTATAATCAACCGAGGCGAATGAGGTGCGCCACCCTGTATATAATTAGTTAATATAAGTGAATTTCATAAATGATCGGTTTACTACACGTATGTATATTATATGGTCACTTACTAGCGAAAAGTTATTCCATTATTTTACTCGATTTTTGATCGAGATCTACCGCACGCTACACAACCAACTATTTTACAGTCGTTTTCGATAAATCGCAATAGTGTCACTGTTAATTTAAGTCAAACAGAACTGTCAAAAATCCCCACCCTAGAGTCCCTTTTCCGCACACCATGCATAAATACGTGGGTAGCATTATACTCTTTCCTTAATCTTTTTATTTAAAGGGTATACCTCATTATACTTACAGAATTAAAAGGGCTAATCTTGGCATAATCTTCAGGTGTTAGATACAAATACTTGAAGCCTTTTTCTTCGTCATTATTATCTATCCAAGCTATTTTATATAGATTCTTCACTTCTTCAGCTAATCCTATCCTAGCACCAGAATTTACTGAAATGTATATTCTGGGAATTTTAAGTTGTCTAGCCAGTTCTGATGCTAATCCATAAACCTGTAAATTAATATTTGTTGAAATTATAATAATGTTTTCAATTATAATTTCTTTTGTGATATTAGTTATGGTAGGCAATCAAAGATTTATTTTACCTTATCTTCTCTTGGTCCAAATGATCCAATTTTGTAAGTTAAATCGTTGGCAATTACAATGATATTTCTACCATCAGGGTATTCCGGTGTGTATAATGTTAGATTCCAAGCTACCATTCCAACATTGTTTTCACCTAAACATAAATAATGTATTTATTTTTTCTCTCTTTTATATCAAATGAAATCAGTTCAACAAAAGAGGGGACAGTCAAAAATTAACAACAGATAATTTGAATTAAAATAACATACAACAACTGTCACTGTCTTATATTTTCTGGTACACAGACTATACTTTTGTCAACTTACCAGCAACTCTTTTCTGCTCAATTAATCTGGTTTCTGTCTCTACATCTAAAACTAATTCAACAAAGTCCATAAGTTTGTCTGGAATTTCAACGTCTTCAGAAACTTGCTGGCTATATTGTTTCCATTGAAGATCAACCATTTGTCGGAACATTTCAGGGTAATCATAAACATATGTTGTTCCATTACTTTGTGCCTGGAATCTTCATAAAAAAATAAATAAACTATTGCTTTTAGAACTATGTATTTGAATTTAGGTTGTAGAGGTGCACCGTTCCAATTTTTTAATACAATATAACAAGTTTACACCATCTAATTATACCAACCTTTTTTGCTGTAGGTAATCTTTGGCTAAGTATGGCGTAGAAATAGGTAAACCGTGCATGGGACCCTGCTTCTTTCCATAAGCTTTAAATTTAATCTCTCCAGATTCTGCATCAGTAACTTCTGTATACATGTTGATATCTAAGTAATAGCCACTATCATTTGCTAAACATAAACGTATGGGTGTAGTAGGGGCATTAGGAGCTGGCCTAAAAATATTTATAATAGTTTAATTTATTTTATATTGCAGATTTTTAGACATTTATCCCTGATATTAGATATCACATAAGCAAAATTTAAAAATTGGTCAAGTGCGAGTCGGACTCGCGCACGAAGGGTTCCGTACCATTCATTAATTATACATTAGACACTATATTATTATAAACTTTTTTTCCAATTTAGCTGAAATTTTGAATGCGCGTATAAGTAATTTAAAAAAAATGAAGAAACACATTACTAAAAATTGTATTAATCAATAATAAATATGTAAAAAGTAAAAATAAATATGTAAAACTATGTAAAATTAAAAAAAAAACGATTAAAAAAAAGTCGCGTTGACTAGGATTCGAACCTGCCTTACTACGGCTCCAACGTCATAGCAGCGTAAAGTCCTAACGCTTTAACCACGCGGCCACCGAGGACTTGAAAGATTCTACGTAAAATTCTTACTTAAAAGATAATGTTTAGTGAAAGTACTTTTTAATTTATAAACATTTATTTAATTCTGTTTTTAGTATTTGTTCTTATAGCGGCAACATAGATACATTATCTGAAAAAATTTCAACTGTCTAGCTATAACGGTTCATAAGATAGACCTTTGTGACAGACGGACGGACGGACGGACAGCGAAGTCTTAGTAATAGGGTTCCCGTTTTTACCCTTTGGGTACGGAACCCTAAAAAAGGCATTAAAATTTTGTAGACTAAATGTATGACAAATAGTCACTTATAATTTGATTCACGAAAAAATCGTCCGTGCCGCCTCTGTCTAGTACGGTTTGTAAAGAAGTATATATTTACCTTATCAAGACTTTAATTTCAGCTTGTAGAACTCTAAGTTTCCATAACCTAGGCCCGTATCTTAGAACAGTGTTAGTAACTGCTTCCTCAATTTTAGCGGGATCCATAATCACAGTAGGTATAAAATTGAGGAATATATGATTGCAGTCAGTGCGCTTTGATTGTGGATGTGAAAACGCTACTTCTAGTTCATCCATGGCTTCGAGAAGCACTCTTTCACCTTAAAAAATATACAGATTTTTTTTTAATGTGTAAAAAATATAAACGTATAAAAATTGTTTACCTTCATTTTGTAGGTATTCAAAAGACGCTTCTTTTGTAATTAAGTCGGAATGTCTTATTATACTTCTAATAAAGAAACGATAATCTGTCACTTCCTTTCCTGGAGGTACTTTTGCTTTTCCTAAAGAACTTTGTAGTAAAATGAAATTATAATAAAATTGGGCATACTTACCAAGGTAAAGATGCATTTTCTGATTAGACGTCGGCAATGCTTCTAAATTATAAGATCTCATTCTCGTTAACTCTAATTGGAATGCAGCTGCGGGTTCTAAGTGGCGGTAGATTTTGTCCTCATTAAAACCGTCACGGGCTCTAAATATTTTGAAAAGTAAAACGCATAAATTTATTTTCCACGTTGTTTTTATTTCAACTTTCTTTTACCTGTATGTAAAGAATTTAGGGAACTGTTTATGTTTAAGTGCACTGAAAGTTATTCTTCTAATCCCTCTAGTAAGTAGTTCTTCTTTGTGCTTTTTACAAAAAGTGGCGAACATTTTACTCATTGTAGCATCATCCTTATCTCCTAGAATTGTAAACAGTGAGTAGGTATATGTAGTTTAAAACGGTATAGTTTAAACAAACAGAGTTTAAGAAAAGTATTTATGTAGGTGCCCAAAATTCCCGCAGTGCTTGCACAAAATTCATAATTTAATTTTATATGCTTATTCAAGTTAAAATTCTATGGATTGGGTGGTATACCGAACTGTATTCCGGAAACTTCGGCAGCATATTCTGCAGATAAAAATAAGTAAAAAAAGTCCGTATAAATGTATGTCCTAAAATACTTAGTTTCGGAGATACAGGGTGTAGAATTTTCATTTTTATTTCGATTTTTTCTAAATAATTTCTGAAGTGACGTTAATATTTGGATGAAAATTGGTGCCTGGAAGTTTTGTGACACGATAAATTTGATTTTGATGTCAAAATGACTCTTATTTATAGGGGGCGCCACATGCGTTTTGACTGTTTTGAAAAGTAAAAACTTTTCGTCTCTACCTGTATAAAACTACTGACTAAAAAAATATACATTTCCATGACTTTTTCCGTAAAAAATGTCTCTAGGTAAAAATCGCTACGAGCAACCGTTCTCAAGATATTTAGAATAGAAATAGTCAATACATACATACATGACTGAAATAATAAATTTTTATTTGTTTAAATTAATCATAAATTTTTCTGCGAAAAAATGATGATTGAATAGTTTCTGTTGAATTTTTGACACAAAAAGATTTCAAATTTATGATTTCAGTCTAATTATTTAGTCAATTATATTTAGTCAACATGTTTAATTTATGTCAATGACGACAGGTATCGATAATTTCGATTCCAAATATCTCGAGAACCATTACTCGTAGCGATTTTTACAAGAGATATTTTTTATTTAAAAAAAATTGTGAATGTATATTTTTTTACTCAGTAGTTTTATACAGGTATGGATGAAAAGATATTACTCATTAAACCAGTTAAAACATATGTAGTATGTAGGTGGCGTCCTCTACAAGTAGGAGTCATATTGATATGAAAATCAAATTTCTCATGTCAAAAAACTCCCAGACAGCAATTTTCATCCAAATATTGACGTTACTTCATAAATTATTTGGAAAAAATCGAAATAAAAATGAAACCTCTACACCCTGTATCTCCGAAACTAAGCATTTTAGGACATACATTTATACATTTTTTACTTATTTTCTTCTGTAGAATATGCTGCCGAAGTTTCCGGAATACAGTTCGGACCACCCTGTATAAGAGAACTCTTCGTAACTTACCATCATCTTTAATTCCAACATGTAAAATATGTTGAGGTTCCAATATAACATTATCATCATTTTGTTGCACTCTCGGACCATCTAGTGATAAACTAACATTTATTGATGTTGAATTTTTCCTTGATTCTGAACCTAGAACAATTACATATTAAGAAAAGCATATTATAGTTTTCAAAATATTTTACCTGATTCAACAGCATTTAAATCTCTGGAACTAATAGTAGCAGGATTAGCAAAATCTTCAATCAAATCCAGAATTTCATCAGAATATTGATCAAACTGCTGAAAGTTTTCAAAAGCTGCCATACATCCTGTTCTATGGAATGTGTCGATAATTGTAGGAGGATCTACATATCTGCCATCTAAAATAATCTTATTAACAGTCAAAAGAAGTAATTTTAATTTTTGAGCTTACCAATTTCAATTTTTTCCGTAAAATTATTGATTTTAACTAATCTACTTGGATGAGTTGATGGCAACACAAATTGAAAATGAACCACAGGGATTTCTCCACTAAGCTCAAAATGTTGTAAAGTAAGTATTTCATAACTTGTATATGCCCGCCTTACATAAACCTATTTAGAACATAAAGTAAAATACAGCAAAAAAAATAAAAGCCCGCGGTTACATTGGAAGCGGGCGTTTTTTAAACGTGCGTGCTCTGGCGGAATTTACTCGCACGACTATTTTATTTTAGTGGTTACATTAGATGCGCGTTCATGGTGTCCTGTTTGTCGAGTTTGTCAAAACGGACGCCACTACTTTGATACTGTCTGAGGATTTAATGTTAAAATAACTACTTATGAACAGAAGAAAATGTTAGGTAAATGATTTATATGAAAGAAAAAGCGAAGAAAAATAATACGTAAAATATTTGGTGAATTAAAACAGCAACCGGTCAAATTTTTTGAATATTTTACAATGTTTCCAGCAACATCAATATATCTAAAATAAAAATAAACCTGGTATTCAAAAATATTCAAATTTTTCGGGAATGTATTGGGCCCAGAGATATAAAAAATCGAACGCTCGGACGTGCACGTATTAAAAAAACAAACCAGTTTGTTTTCATCCGACCAACGGAAATTGACGTCCACGGACGCGCAAACTCCGATGCAATGTAACCGCCTGCGTAGATACCATCTGTTAGTTTTTTGCTGCGTGTACGTCCGAACACGTATGACCAAACGTACGGACACGCATCCAATGTAACCACGGGCTAAATTTCATTCTTTGGTACCTCTAAAGCTGCACTTGATACCGTCCTATTGGTATGGTAGAAGAAATCGTGCAGAATATCATAAATAGAAGTTTCCGACACAATCAATTTCTGTAAATTTTCTGGATGGAACTCGTGTCCATACATATCCACAGCCGATAAGAAAATGCTTTCCATTTGGTTATGGCGTAACTCATAAGCTGGTTGATGAGCCGCTATAAGAACTTGACGAGCTCTGCAAAAAGTATTGCCTAGAGATTTAATTACAATTTGAATTTTGCTACAAAATACCTCAACGCTACTTTGGAGTGTTCACTTTTATTTAGAGAAGTGAGCTCGGTTAAAACAGGAGCTAGTTCATCAGTTAAACCTGGCTCATTGGACCATAAATGATCAATCAACATTGTAATGAGAATATTCTTTTTTGCCACCTAAAACATCCATAATACAACCAATTTTATAGTCTAAGAGCTAGCAACGTTTTCGAGAAAGTATTTTAAGACGTCTGGCTCTTTGATATATCTTTTACTATGCTTTTTGGAACAGCATGCGGCCCGTCTGGCTGCCGATACCCGTTGCGTTCACTACTGCGCATCGGAAGAAGATCATATATATAATTTTTTTTTAATTTAGTCCTATAAATACTAGTATTGAATATAAGTCGAACATGTCTCCATAGCGCAGTGCGTAGAGTTTCCGACCACGAACCGAGGATTCAGACTTCGAATCCGGGTCAGGGGAAAGACTTTTTTATTTTATTTTCGTTTATTTTCTGATAGTCAAGTATTAAATAATTCTGGTGATTCAAAAAAAAAACAAATATTTCATACTTTACTATCAAAATATAAACGAAAATAAAATAAAAATGCCTTTGCCCTGACCCGGATGCGAACTCTAAGTCCTCGGTTCGTGGTCGGAAACTCTACACACTGCGCTATGGAGACATGTTCGATTTATATTCAGTACTAGAATTTAAAGGACTAATAAAAATATATGATCTGTCAATGCGCAGTAGGGAATGCAACGTTTACCGGCAGCCAGACGGGCCGCATGCTGTTCTAGAGAGCATAGTAAAAGATATATCAAAGAGCAAGACGTCTGAAAATACTTGCTTTTCCGACGTTGCTAGCGCTCGTGCTATTACTCAAGCAAACAAATAGTTAATAGACATAGGGGTCTCAAAAAGTTTGAAACAAGTGGGAATTTTTTTTGTAACATAATAATTTTGTATGTAATAGTTTTATCAATATATACCTGAGCATGTGAAAAAATTGTAGCAGACACGATTTTCATATCATCTTTGTGTTTTTCTCTTAAATGTGAGACACACTTATCGTATGAACCATGCTGAAATTGACTTTCCACGTCATAATATTGTTTTAAAAGGTCCTGCACAGCTGCCTTCATCCTACCTCTTATTCCATTCCTATACCTATATAAAAATAAAATAACATGTATCGTTGTAGTTAATTTAAAATAAAAATTAATTACTTCTGTACTAATTGAACAATGCCTTCTGTGGCTAAAAAGAATCCATCTCTCTCTGCTCTCTTAGTAAATAATGCTGCATGACTATCAATAATGCTCGCTATTTGTTGACTAGGAAATTGTGCTAAAACTGACGTTATATTTCTTTCATACAGCGTCATCAGCCTTCTAATTTTCTTTTCTACAGCAATGGGAATACGCCCTGAAATTGACGCCATCACTTCTTGTAGTTCAAGAAGTGGTAAGCTTGGATCGCGTAAAGATGACATAAATTTCTCTATCACCTTAAAAATATGAATATTTATAAAAGTTCTCGAATTAATAATATATTTTTTTATTATACCTCTCTTAGTCTAGGAGCATTATAGGGTTCAGGTAAACAATATCCTGCTAAAGTATTTTCTAGCATTATTTTATAGTTAATATGGATATGGTTTAATTTCTCTGGAAGGCCTGAAAGTGATGTATCCATTTCGGGGAAGGGTCCTTTATATGAAACAGCTTTTGTGACAAGACTAGGATCATCTAATTCTAAATTTGCTAAGATAGATCCAGCATCTAAAACAGCGCCGGGTCGTTTCGCGTATGTAATTATACCAGCTTCGCTTGCTGTAAGGGTCATAACCATTTTCATTACTTCAATTTCAGCATAAGTTTGTCCCTACGGAAAATTAATAATTAAATTTACTACGGAGTGGTTTTCGAAGTATGAATATATTTAGATTAAATTATCTACAGATTTAAAGCAAAACATTCAAAGTTTTAAAAGTGCCAATATCATTATTTGGAGCATATTTGGAGATAAACAATATTATTGTTACATAACCAATGTATAAGAAAGGCGGTGTCTTTGTTGAGATTTTTTTTCGATACAGTTAATAGCCGTGGCAGATAGGGTTTTATACAGTGTTTGGCAATAGTGCGTCGGGCATCTGTAGCTCCTAGAATAAAAAAAACTTGAGAATTTTGTTTAAGTGCAAACCTAAAGTATGTACCAGGATGGTACCAGGATGTATTTGCGGATAATATTTTAACTTCTATAGGGTGGCTCAAAAAAGTGTGAGTGGATCTGGATGATTTTTTTAAATGGAACACCCGGTATATTATTACATTTTTGGCTTCTTTTCAGATCACTTTACATAATCCTAAGATATGAGTAAATATGTTTCGATAATTTCAGAAATATTTATAAATAAATAAAAAATGTATATTTTTCACCTCTTCTTAAAAAAAATATTAAAAATACAAGAACTGTTCTGAAATCAAAACTATATTAGATATATACTTTAGATGGTTTGTTCTTACTTTGCTATAAATATGGTAATCGTTAATCATACAGGATGTTCAATATATTACGCCAAACTTTCAAAAATATAAAATAATTTTTCTTCGATTTTTTAAATGGAACACCTTGTATATTATTTTTTATTAGATGTAGAATTAAAAAATGAACCTTGTATTTTTAATATTTTTTTTAAGAAAAGCTGAAAAATTTGTAATTTTTATTTATTTGTATCTCTGAAATTATCGCAATATATTTACTCATGTTTTAGGATTATGTAAAGTGATCTGAAAGGAAGCCAAAAAATGCAATAAAATACAGGGTGTTCCATTTAAAAAAATCATCCCGATCCACTCACACTTTTTTAAGCCACCCTATAGAAGTTAAAATATTTTCCTGAAATACATCCTAGTACATAATTTAGGGTTGCACTTAAACACAATTCCCAAGTTTTTTATTCTAGGAGCTACAGCCCGACGCACTATTGCCGGAAAGTGTATATTATGTTGCTGGTTATGTTGTTGATTATGTTAGGAGATTTTACAAATATAATATGATAAACAGATTTTTTGGCACTTAGAACATTGTTTTTGAACATTGACATTTGAAAATAATCATTGTAAAACAGCAAATATGTGAATAAACAGCAATTTTGTACGTAAAAATTATTTATCAAAATATAAACTTCAATAAAACCACCTGGTATATACCCTGCATATCGGGTGTTTCTCGAAAGTGGCTCACCCCTATAACTTTTTTATTTTTTTAAATAAAAAAAAGATTTGATATTAGTTAGTACATGACATAAATTAGGATTGATTGACGTATTCAATTGTTTCCTGTCACTTCCCGTTTCACCGGAAATACTTACAATTTTTCATTGAATTAAATGACACCCTCGGTATTTTTTTAATTTATTGGATAGAAAATGACAATCTGAATAGCAAGACATATCATATTTCAACTTTTGACATTTTCGCATACGGTTTATTTAAATTGTAACATGCGGTTCATAACGACAATTTGACTCGAAATCTACTTGAAGTACGAGAACAGAAAATATACAGAGCCAATTTAAAAATTACAATTTCAGTGGTAAAAATTTGAATTCATATCATATTCATTCATCATAACATGACTGAAAGGAAAATTTGAAACAGGTAACATTCTTTAGAGCGTTTTCGAAATACTGGATCACCCTGGTATACCTATGGCTCAGTATTACAACTTACTTTTGAGACATGTCCACCATCTTCAATTAAAAATCCAATCAATTTACCAGCAGATGGAGACCTTAAAATTGTAGGGTCGTTTTCTTTTTCAAAAACACAAGTCTGATTGCCAATAACAATTCGATATCTGAAAAAAAAAACAGATTATTGTAATGTCAAATTTTCATATTCTTTTCATCTATTTACCTGTCTACTTCCTCTTTCATATAAGTTGTGAAAGAAGAACCGTCAATAGAAAGAAGTATACCTCCATCACTTAACCTATGTACTTCTATTTCCTTAAAACTTCCATTCATCTAAAAATAATAGATTAATATCATTTGTTGGTCATATAAAATATTTATAAGTTACTTGTAAGAAATATGTATTTGGTCCACTTTTCGTTACTTGAACTTTATATTTATTTCCGTTATTTATCAATTCAACATCAACCACATTAGTCAGTGTGTTAGATGCTTGAATTTGTCCTTTTTCTAAAGAACTAATAAACTCCTGAAAGGCTGTTTCAATTGATTTATCTGCGATATGCAAGGCACCACATACAACTGCAGCACATAAAAACAAACAAAAAGTTAATAATAAGCAATGCAATAAGTTATTTGTTATTATAACCTGCAAGCATGACATCAGGTTTTTCGGCTTGCACTTTTTCAGAAATTAAAATATCCAACCAAGCTGTATCAATCGTATTCTGCTGAAAATCGGCTGTTTCAAGTAGCGTGATGAGGTACTCAACTGTTGTTCTATAACAAAAAAATAATTTATTCAGTTATTAATAAATATCCATTTTTAACTGTTATTTTTTCTTAATTTCCTAACCAAAAAAAAGGACGTTTTTAAAACATTTAACGTTTATCTCTAGTGTATATACAGGGTCGCTGTAATGGATGGAAACCGTCGATTATTAGGTAAAATATAGGAGGTACCGCAAAAGGTTAAATACAAAAGTTATAGAATTTTTAAATATCTAGTAGCGAGTAATAAATTTAAGTATACAGGGTCGGTCATAAAGTCGTGGCATATAAAAGTTTAATTTTTTAAATACAACCCCCTGTATATTATTGCATATTTCAATTATTCCTACAATTCTAAGCAAAAATCGAAATACACAGAATGTAGCTCGAACCAACCGTTTCCGAGTTATTGACTTTTGAAAATATCACTTAAACAATTTGATTTAATTAATTTCGATATATTCAGTTTCATTTAACGATACCATTCTGCCGAAACTGTGATACTTAATAATATTTGACATTAGTTCTCAAGTTGGCATTTATAGATGTATAAAATGAGATTATATCAAGTCTGGAAATTACAAAATTTTCGTTTTAACATTTTAATTCTTTAATTTATGTACATTGTGTATTACTAGGTAAAATATAGGAGGTACCGCAAAAGGTTAAATACAAAAGTTATAGGATTTTTAAATATCTAGTACCGAGTAATAAATTTAAGTATACAGGGTCGGTCATAAAGTCGTGGCACATAAAGGTTTATTGCTTAAAATTTAAGGAAGAATTGAAATATGCAATAATATACAGGGGGTTTCATTTATAAAAAAAAAATAAAGTTTGATGTGCCACAACTTTATGACCGACCCTGTATGCTTAAATTTACTAGTAGCTAATAGGAATTTAAAAACCCATTACCACAGTATCACAGTTTCGGCAGAATGGCATCGTTAAATGAAACTAAACATATCGAAATTAAGTAAATCAAATTCTTTCAGTGATATTTTTAAAAGTCAATAACTAGGAAACGGTTGATTTGAAGTACATTGTATGTATTTCGATTTTTGCTAGATTGGAGGAAGAATTGAAATATGCAATAATATACAGGAGGTTCTATTTAAAAAAATGAAACTTTTATGTGCCACGACTTTATGACCGACCCTGCATATTTAAATTTATTACTCACTAATAGATATTTAAAAATCCTATAACTTTTGGATTTAACTTTTTGCGGTACCTCCTATATTTTACCTAATAATCGACCGTTTCCGTACATAACAGCGACCCTGTATATACAGATGAGTTCTATCCACATATAGTACGAGAGCTAGCAACGTCGGAAAAATAAGTATTTTAAGAAAGCTGGCTCTTTAATATATTGTTTACTATGCTCTCTGGAACAGCATGCGGCCCGTCTGGCTGCCGGTAAACGTTGCGTTCCCTTCTGCGCATTGAAAGAAGATCCTATATTTTTATTAGTCCTTTAAATTCTAGTATTGAATATAAACCGAGCGAGTCTCCATGGCTCAGCGCGTAGAGGTTCCGCCTATCAAGCGAGGAGTCAGTTTGAGACCGGGTTAGGACAAAAACTTTTTTATTTTATTTTCGTTTATATTCTGATAATAAAGTATTAAATAATTCTGGTGATTAAAAAAAAAACAAATATTTACTGCTTTACTATCAGAATATAAACGAAAATAAAATAAAAAAGTTTTTGCTCTGATCCGGTCTCGTACTCCTCGGTTCGTGGTCGGAAATTCTACGCGTTACGCTATGAAGACTTGTTCGATTTATATTCAATACTATAATTTAACGGACTACATAAAAAAATATAGGATCTTCTTCCGATGCGCAGTAGTGAACGCAATGAGTATCGGCAGCCAGATGGGCCGCATGCTGTTCCAGAGAGCATTGTAAAAGATATATCAAAGAGCCAGATTTCTTAAAATACTTTCTCGGAAACGTTGCTAGCTCTTAGACTAATATGCCTAAAAGATATGCCACTCGATAACATCACGCGTAAGAACCTGAAATATCTGATATTTTTGTTAAAACTTACCTAAAATCCCCTCTAATACTTAGTTCCTTTAAGGCTATAACCAAGTTTTCTCTAGCTTGTTCTCGATTCTCACCCCACGAGAAACAATGACCAAATTGGGAATCGGCAAACTCATGAAGTCCTCCAGATGCAGCCACAGAGAAGTAACCCCACACATTCTTCGAGGAACGGAAGTTTAGCTCTTGTACAGTTCCAGAACTTGGTTTAAAACCTACAAAATAATAAGTAATGTTGAAAAAAATGCCTTGTTTTATAGGTTTTTAATATATACCCTCGTCAGGATTCTCAGATGTTATTCTAGCTGCTATAACATGACCCCACGGTTGGGGTTTATGTCTAGGTTGGTCAAAATCAATTTCAGTTTTGCCCCATGGAGATTCACCATACAACAATCTATAAAAATTTAACTCTTATTTAATTGATATTGAAAAAGTTATTAAAAAATCAAAATTTTTACAAATTTAAGGTCAAATATTTTTTTGTAGTTCATATATGTATATGTATACTAAGGGCTGGCAAAGGTTAGTCTTGGGTCGAGATTTCCGTATGTAAAAAGAGTACAATGGCGTTTATAATGTACTGAACAAAGAGAGAACAGTAAACACGTTGCCAAACGTATGAAATAAACCGACAAACTGTGCACATTGCTAAGAGACGTGGAAGGGGATAAGCAGATTTGTCGCAGTCGACCGGTCGACCCAATCAGTGTGTACCTCTGTTAGTACTTCTAGTAAGTAAGTTCTAGGGAAAGGTGTACATCATGAGTTAAGTGCAAGTTAGAAAAACTGTGGTGTTCGACAGTGGTAGCGCTATTCGAACTCTGAATTCAAAAATCGATATCTCGAAATCTATTAGAAATTTTGTTGTAATTTATTGAATTGTAGTTTTTTTCAAAAACTGAAAGTTGCTATGCACTAAAAGTAAATGGATGGGTTGCTTAAAATTTTTGGTTTGGTGGATGGAATGGAAAAAAACCAGTTTATCGGTTTTTTCTTATTTAAACATATTGTAAAAGATCCGATCCTCAAAATAAAAAAAAAGTTTTAATATCTAAAGTGGTTCTTAAGTTATGGCGTGGTTATGTGTTAAAAAGTTGAGTTTTTAAATTATCGCAATTCCAGACGTTTTCGCGTTATAAAAAAATGGACACCTTAACGATATCCTTATAATTCCATATCAGATGCTCAGAAACATATCTAATTATTTTATCTAGTTATCTTTTCGAAAAAAAAGTATTTTAAGAATAAGCGGTTTGCGATCGTGATTTTACTTTACTTGAAAGGCGTATCGGCAACGCCGCAACAGCACACCGTCGCATTTCTCTCACTCCGACTTAATAAGATCCCTATGCGATTTACTTCCACACATGTAAATACCGACCCAAAAGTAACAGTTGCCAGGACGGTATAGGTACCTAATATCTTTAATATAATGTAAAGGTAGACCCATAGCAACTTGCAGTTGAGCTGCAGGTAAGTTAACATCGGACACCATTTCCGTACAAGGATGCTCCACTTGTAAGCGAGGATTCAGTTCCAAGAAGAAGTAGTCTCCAGATGTTTCATACAAATATTCTACGGTACCGGCTGAAACATAACCAACCATTTTGGCTAAACGAACAGCAGCCTAAAAAATATTAATTACATAGGGTCATATCTAGAAGAGATATTAAAAGATGTTTTAAAATTAAATCTGTGAAAATAATATAAATGATGACCACAAGAAATAATAAGAAATTTTCATTCAGGGTCTGCCAAAAATTTGCAGCAAATTCGTATATATGTTATTATAAAATTGCCCAATAATGCATGTACAGGGTGGGTCAAATTCGACGCTTTTAAAGGGAAACAGCCTTTTCTATAGGAGATAGACAAAAACTAATATCGGTGTCTGGAGTTCAATTTTTATTAAAAACATGATGGTGAAAACCGCACATCGATGTCTGTTACCGTTTCGCAGTTACAAAAGGGTGTTTTTCAAAAATGTGCATTTTTAACAAATTGCTGTAACTTTTTTGCTATGGAAAATTTTCTATTTTTATGAAAACATTTCCAAAGCACCTTTTTACGTAGAATTTAATGGTTTAAGTATAATTTTTTAAAAATTAATAATTTAAGAGTTATCAACAGAAAAATTGATTTTTTATTTGGGATGCACTATATATTTTTAATTAAATGAAAAGAACTTAAAATTACCTTTCCAAAAATATAGTACACTTGATATTTTGTTTTAATCATTTTCGAAATACAGAATTTTTAAAAGTTCGCCAGTTTTAACTAGTAGGCTTTGGACCCCTTACTGATGATCTGCCCCCAATGGAACTCGAAAACATATTTTTTCAGCAAGACGAGGCACCGCCTCAGAACGCTGAAATTATCAGCTAACTTTTGCAGCCAATTTCGTGAATAATTGATTAGTTAACCAAGATCCCAGCCGTTGGCCGTCGAGGCCGCCGGACTTAGTGCATATGAATTTTTATCTTTGCGAAAGAATTAAAGGTTCTTACTTTTAAATTGCCTGTATAATCTAGACAAGAATTAGAAGTACTTAGCAGTTATGCGAGGGTATCTTTCACTCATATTTAGTTAATGAATTCCGCGAGAAATGTTCAAAAACTGTCCCGTCTGTCCATAACAGAAGACGGTCGACATGTCAAACACCTGTAGCAAAATCTCATGTCTCGGTTTGCTATTAATTTGTATTGTTATTAGATATAGTTTAAATGTGTTGATGTTGTCAAATATAGTTTAAATTGTTATAAAATTCTAAATCTCTCATTGCAAATATTATTTTCGTTTTAATTGCTGCTCACAGCTACAATTTTTTTGCATTATAACAGGCACAGTTCAAAGCCTACTTATTCAAAGTTGGCGTATTTTTAAAAACTCTATATCTCGAAGAGGTATCGAGCAAAATATCAAGTATGTTATATTTTTGGAAAGGTAATTTTACATTCTTTTCAAGGAATTAAAAATATACAGGATGTCCCATATAAAAAATCAAATTTTCTGTTGATAATTCTAAAATTATTAATTTAAAAAAAAATTATACTTAAACCATTAAATTCTACGTAAAAAGGTGCTTTGGAAATGTTTTCATAAGAATACAAAATTATGCAGAGCAAAAAAGTTACAGCGATTTGTTAAAAATGCACATTTTTGAAAAACACCCCGTAACTCATAAACGGTAACAGATATTGACGTGCGGTTTTCACCATCATGTTTTTGATAAAAATTGAGCTTCCGACACCTATATTAGTTTTCGTCTATCTCCTGTAGAAAAAAGCATGTGTAATAAAATAATTATGTTTTATTATTGGGAAAACATGATTATTATATTTGTCAAGCGATAACTGCCATGGTCGTATTTGTAGCAAACTTTTTGACACATCCTGTATAACGAACTCCCATTTTCCTCAGCTAACTACCCACATTATTGTGGCTAAAAAAATAATTTGCAAAGAAAAAAGAATAATTACTTTCTCCATTTCTTCAAACACTTCAGCGCTAGCAATTGAGGCTGGGGCTTCTTCAATAATTTTCTGATGTCGCCGCTGAATAGAGCAATCCCTTCCAAATAGGGAAATTGCATTTCCATAATTATCTGCCAAAAGCTGAACTTCTAAATGACGAGCACCTTTAGCCAATTTCATCACAAAAATTGGCGAACCAGGTATTTCAGTTTGGACCTACAGAAATAACAATAAATATGTCGTTAAAAATGTCTATACCTATGTGGCGGATTCATCTCTCCAAAAAATCCTTTATAGGTATTTCGCCACTGCACTGCAACAAAATCTACAAAATAAAATAGTTATTTTTTGTAAAAACTTCTGGCGTTAAACCTAAACGGACGCTGCTTGTCAGAAGTTATATTTACAGTAATACAAATTTGCCTAACAAAGAAAAAAATGCTTAACGTTTCGGAAAGCTATCTCTTTCCGTCGTCGGAAGCAAAAAAAAAATACAAAGAATAAAGAAAAAAACTATTTAAAATATTTAAATTCAACTATTCGAGAACACTTCACTTTTTTAAAACAGATGCGTCTACAAGAAACCGTTGACGTTCTGTTAAACTGACGTTATATCAAGTTAAACTTCAAAATTATTAAAACTATTTTATTTTGTAACTTTTCTTGCAATGCAGTGGCGAAATACCAATAAAGGATTTTTTTTGAAATATGTCGTTGTTTTTAAATGTTGTTCTATATCTTTACCTGCCTGAATGCAGCTTGGAATTCATCGGGATGATCGACTTTACGAATTCCTTTACCACCACCTCCTTCTGAAGCTTTGATCATGACAGGAAAACCGATTTTTTGAGCTGCCGCCAAACCTTCTTCCGCTGTTGTAACGCATCCTCTCGCAAACAGTTCAGAAGAAATTTTAATTTTTTTACCGCTATATTGTGCTTTGAGGCCTAAATAGAAACAATGTTTTCGGAAATTGGCTTTTAAGTAATTGATATATCAATAGATACCTGAACCAGACCATGATAATGTAGGAACATCAGCCGTTTGAGCAACTATAGACGAAGCAATTTTATCTCCTAATGCCCACATAGCTTTCTCGGACGGTCCAATAAAAGTGATGCCATTCTTATGGAGCAATTCTGGGAGTTTTGGATTTTCTGACGCGTGACCCCATCCAGCCCACACGGCCTTTAATATAGAAAATTTAATATTACTATTTCTGGACGTCCTGTATAATTATACATAATTGTATTTTTACAATTATTTTCAGAAAAATTTTTGCAAATTGTAAGTTTTAAGTTCGTTAAGTTAAGGACTATTGTAGCTACAATTGAAAAATATTTTTACAAGATACAGAGTGTCCCAAATAAATAAAAAATATCAAAGTTGCATTTTTTTAAATTAAAACACCTTGTATATTATTACATATTTAGTTTCTACAATTAAAATAAAGGTAAGTTTGATTAAGGTTTACCGCATTTTAATCTCACCGTTTTTGAAATATACACAACCAAACTTATATGGAATCATCTATTATTTTTCATAATTTTTGAGATGTATGAAAATTTGACTTTTAATGAGAAATAATCATATAGCAATAAAAAAAAATTAATCAGTTCCCAAAATAAACAAAATGGCATTTTTTGGTTTCTGAAACGAAATTAAGATTTAAATTTTTAATGGCCAAAAAGTATAAACAAAAAGAAAATTGTTAATTTTAATATTCTTTGTTGCCACCTCTAGCCCTTATGCAAGCTTCTATCCGCACTGGCATGCTTCTTATAAAATTATCTACGTTGTCTTGGGGTATGTTTTCCCATTCTGCTAATGCTGCATCAATAAGCTGTGCGAGATTTCCTGGATTGCTTCGACGAGCTCTAACCCTTCTTTTGAGCTAGTCCCACAAGTGTTCGATAGGGTTTAGATCTGGTAGATAGACAGGCCAGTCCAAAACTATGACACCTTCCGTTTCAAGACATTCTCTAGTCACTCTGCTGGTATGGGGAGGTGCACTATCGTGCATGAAGTTAAAATTATCCCCAATTGCAGCTCTCCAAAAACTAACGATTGGTTCTAGCACCAAATCAACATATCTCCGACTCGTTAAAATTTGTTGAAGTGGTAACAGTGGTGTTTTTGCTCCTAGTATAATACCTCCCCAGAACATTACAGTTCCTCCTTTATATCTTGGTACAGATTTGGCAGCCTGTCTCGCTCGTCTTCCTGGAGCTCTGAGAACCCGAATTCGATAGTTATCTGATCTTAGGCAAATTCTGGTTTCATCCGAAAAAAAAAAACATTTTGCCAATTCGCAGTTGTCCAGTTTTGATGTTGAAGGCATCAATTTAGCCGGTCAATTTTATTTTGCCGAGATAGCTGTGGTATCCGTAGCTCTCTCCTACTGTAAAACCCTCGTGCACGAAGCCTTTTTCTTATGGTTTCAACTGAAACGTTCACACTTGTAGCTACCAGAAGTTGTCTTTGTAGCTCTGGATGAGAAACATTGGGATTTATTCTAGCAATTTAGCACAAAAGGCGGTCTTGTTGTTCAGTTGTGACTCTTTGACGACTTTTTCTGGGCCTATCTTTGTGTGTTCCTAATTCCAAGTACCTTGCGTATGTTTTCGATACAACACCCTGGGTAACGCCTACTATCTCTGCTACGTCTCTCTGGAGCATTCCTTGTTCGGTTAGAGCAATAATTCTTCCCCTCTCTAATCTGTTAATCCAACATAAGGCATTAATTTTTTTTTTGGATTGAATGAAAATTACCGGACAATCGTGATTTTACTACTGAACACAAAATTCAAAAGAAAATAAATCGCAGCAGTCGTTTATTCTTTATTATCATGTTCATTCACAACAAAAAGCTTTATCTTAAAGTTGTATATCAATTTTTATCCTTGTAAGAAATTTAGTCAGAAATAAAGAGTGATTCCATATAAGTTTGGTTGTGTGTATATTTACGTTTTTATCAAAATACAGTAATAATTTTAATGCTTTATTTCTCTAGGCGTATTTAAGTTTTTAAAACCAAATATTGTACTGAAGTATTTCTATTTACTAAATTTTGTGTTGCAATAATAAAAATTATACTACCTTATACAGAGTGTCTAAAAATTTAGTTTAAATAATTACTTGCTTTAAACGGTAATAACTTGTTTAATTTAAATGGAACACCCTGTATATTTTATGAGAATCAGATGCATAATTTAATCGTCTATCAAATTGTATTATACCATTTTTTACATATCTCTTCAAGTTTTCGTAGGAAATACATTTTTTTATAATTTAGACCTCATTGATCAATATACCTATGGAATATTGACAGTTTAGATTATTTTTAAAGATGTAACAAATTTTTAAAGTGTACAGATACTAATATTGTCGATATAGTTCATTTATTTCATTAAAAAATAAAAAAATATATTTAAATATTTGTTAAAGAGGACCAATTAATATGATTCCAGTATTCAAACTATATCAATTGACTGTTTGCGTTGATTAATAATAATTACTCCAAATACTAAAAAACTAAATTTTGTTATTTTGTGTATTAGACAGTGTGATAAAAAGTAACACCTAATTTTATTTCATTTTTTGATGAATGCTTATTTTTAAAAACAGACGTTCATTTTCATAACTTATTATTATATTGATTTGTGAGTCAAATCCACATTTATTTAGAATAATTTGTTAACTAACATAATTAAGTATGTAATTAATTAATATTTGGGCGGAAATAATGGTGGTATATTACTTAATTAATGGTATACTCTTTTATAAAGATTTAAATAGTTTTCTTTTTGTATACAAATGGGCTAGTAATATTATCGTTTTTAACACCTGTACATTTTTTACCTTTGTTGCTTTAAAACCAATATAAAATGTCAATATTCCATGGGTATATTGATAAATGAGGTCTAAATTATAAGAAACTGCATTTTCTACGAAAACTTGAAGGGATAGGTAAAAAGTGGTATAATGCAATTTGATAGACAATGTATAAACTCCAATAAATATTTAGTATTAAAAACTTTGATACCCTTGGAGAAATGAATCCTTAAAATTTTTACTGCAATTTCACAAAATTAAAAATATTTTAAAAACGGTAAGGTTTACGTGTGATAAACCTTAATCAAATTTACCTTTATTTTAATCGTAGAAACTAAAAATGTAATAATATACAGAGTGTTCCATTTAAAAAAATAAAACTTTGATATATTTTATTTATTTAGGGCACTCTGTATCTTGTAAAAATATTTTAAAATCGTAACTCTAATAGTCCTTCAACGAACCCAAAACTTGCAATTTGTAAAAATGTAATCGTTTAGCTACAATATACTCCGTGTCGTATGTGGTGAACAATCCTGTATAATATATGTTCTAGGTAATAAACCAATCAATGAAATTCCTTTAGGGTTAGTTTCTTAGTTGTCCCAGTAGCGTATGGATATTTTCGTTATAAAATAATTACACTAACTAACTATTCGAGCGCCACGGATAAACCGAAATTCAAGTTGTCCATATTGAAACCCCTTCGCGATCTAACCAATTTTGTTCATCTTTTAATTCAATGACTTGAGCGAATTTTAGTTAAGGTGGCTACACACACTACTGCAAGCTTGACAAGCATGGAACAATCTTTTTCTACACGCAAACTGTAGCGTCTGTAGGGAAAATTTGCGCAAGCATTTTAATTGTGCAAGCCGCTTGATGATTGATTGAATTTGAATCATGCAAGCTTGGACAAGCCATGCTTGCGCAAGCGAAACGATACGTGTGTACCACATGTATTCAGCTTGCAAAATTAGTTCAGTCCGTACAATCGAGGATTATTGAAAGATTTTATTCGCGCATACGAAAATCAGCCGTGTCTTTGGCGAATTAAATCACCAGAATATCATGATAGGGCGAAGAAGGATGCAGCATACAAAATTTTACTTAATAAGTATAGATTAATTGACAGCCAAGCCGATAAGGATGCCGTTATTAAAAGATAAATGTCTTCAGCATTCCTTCTTCTTTTTCTTCGGACGTCCTTCTTCTTTTTCGCGGCATAAACATAAATAGCTTAAAAAGCTTGTTCAAGCATGCATGTACCGTGTGGCGGCGAAGGTAAATTATGCATGGGCTTGTACAAAAAGATTGTTCATGCATGCTTGTCAAGCTTGCAGTAGTGTGTGTAGCCACCTTTATATTTAATCAATCAACTTACCTGAACTTGATATCTGATGGCTATGTCCACAATTAGTTCAACGTTGGCATAATTATTATTGTTGGTTCCTCCTGGAACAGGTACATATTGGTCGGCCATTTTAATGTATTCCGCATTAGCTTTTAAATCCTCTGGAGTTACCATGACGACAAAACGCACAGCCCTTTCATTTTTAAACATTTCGTAGGACCATCTTCTGACTGAGCGCATACATTTTACCGCCGCTATTCCGTTGTTTGCTATAAGAACCTTTAAGAAAAAGATAAACAATCATTAAACAATTTAATATCACTAAAGGACGGTCCACACTTGCTATATAACACTGCTATATAGCAAAGTTATATAACATGTTATATATTTTTTAGTCATATTTAGCAAATTTCGATGCTATATAACTTGCTAGATGTTATCCATTTGTAGTCGGTAAAGATCAAAAGATGTTGTGCAACACTGCTATTGTAACATGAAACAACGCGTCCACGCTTGCTAAATTTCTAGTTTAGCCGCTCATATTTTCAGGGACATGCGCGACAGAATCTTAGTGAGGTGAGCTGATATTGGTTTGTTTATTTACTGGTCAATAGTGGTCCAGTCGGCCTCCCGTCCAGTTGGCTTGGACATGACGATCGATGACATTCCCCATATAAAATGACAGCGATCTTCATTTCATAGTATGTATTTGGAAAGAGAAAAAGTTGAGAAAAAAATGCGTTATCTAATAGATCAGTTCCAGAGGGAACAAAAGAAATGTAAATCAGGTACTGCATGGTTTAGATGAAGTGGATAATTCAAAATGGTTTGCTTTTAAGTTATTAATGTTTTTAAAAGACAGAAACACACCATGAGAAACAGCAGAGGCAAGTATTGATAAGCTAATTGAGTTCAACTGTATCTAGATCTTGCTGGCAGGCTATGGCGGACCCAAAACCGCTTTTTTTCTCGACTTTCTTTCTCTTTGTTCAAAAATAATTACGCACGCCGCTGCTGCGATCTGAACCTCTTTCTCGCCAAAACGATTCATGATTACAAAAACTATAATGTGGACGGCTCCCGGTATTTTAACATGTGATATGTAGCTTGTTAAATAGCAATGTTATATAACATGTTACTGAATGTGGACCCTCCTTAACATCGTATTGTTGGATCAGATTTTTCTTTAACCATTATAAAAAAAAACAAAATTAAAATTTACTACCTCTTGTGATAAGATTAATTCGATTATTTTAAATTTATAATTTGAAAATTTTTTTTTTACATAAGTACGTTTTCTTTTTTTATACAGGGTCGCTGTTATGTATGGAAATGGTCGATTATTAAGTAAAATATAGGAGGTACCGCAAAAAGTTAAATACGAAAGTTACAGGGTTTATAAATATCTATTAGCGGGTAATAAATTTAAGTATACAAGGTCGGTCAGAAAGTCTTTTTTAAACGGAACCCCTGTATATTATTGCATATTTCGGTTCTTCCTTTAATTCTAAGGAAAAATTGAAATACACACAATGTACCTCAAAGCAACCGTTTCCGAGTTATTGACTTTTGAAAATATCACTTAAACAATTTGATTTAATTAATTTCGATATGTTCAGTTTAATTTAACGATGCCATTCTGCCGAAACTGTGATACTTAATAAAATTTGACATTAGTTCTCAAGTTAGCATTTATAGATGTATAAAATGAGAGCATATCAAGTCTGGAAATTACAAAATTTTCGTTTAACATTTCAATTCTTCAATTTATGTACATTGTGTATTATGATTATTGCTTAGAATTGAAGGAAGAATTGAAATATGCAATAATATACACGAGGTTTCATTAAAAAAAATAAAGTTTGATGTAACACAACCTTTTGACCGACCCTGTATACTTAAATTTACTAGTAGCGATGGGAAGCAATCCATTACAACAGTATCACAGTTTCGGCAGAATGGCATCATTAAATCAAAACCAAATACATGGAAATTAATTAAATCGTATTGTTTAAGTGATATTTTTAAAAGTCAATAACTCGGGAACGGTTGCTTTGAGGTACATTGTGTGTATTTCGGTTTTTGCTTAGAATTGAAGGAAGAATTGAAATATGTAATAATATACAGGGGGTTCTATTTAAAAAAAATGAAGCTTTGATGTGCCACGACTTCATGAACGACCCTGTATACTTAAATTTATTACTCGCTAATAAATATTTAAAAATCCTATAACTTTTGTATTTAACTTTTTGCGGACCTCCTATATTTTATCTAATAATCGACCGTTTCCATACATAAAAGCGACCCTGTATATTTATTATTAGTAATGTGTAATATGAATTTTTGACAATTACCTTGTTAATAACTTTAGTACCATCAAATTTTTTTACAAATTCGGCAGGTGTAGCTACAGTAAAATCTTTTTCCTGATGTCTATTGCTATGTAACATAACAGTTCCTTGGGACATAGACGGCCTATCAGAAAAAATACATGAAAATATGTTAATAAATTAAATAATACATTTAAAGGAAAATATTAAAATATTAATACATATTTATGGTTTCGGGTTAATAGATTTTCAATGATAATTAGTTTATTTACCTTACTTTTTAGTTTTATTACCTTACATCAACCAAAACCATAGTTTAGAAAAAAAATACCAACAACAACAAAACTGACGTAAATTCTGTCCAACGAGAGAATAAATGACAGTGTCAGATACTTCTGTCATTGTAATTAACAGGTTATTCACAGGTTATCTGTCAAAATCCTCCCTGACTCGTTGGACAGACTATACCTAATATCTTTGTCCCAAACTAAACCAGATTTTAACTATACTTACGTCAGTCCTTTTCTCGGAACACCAAGTCTTCCACTAGATTCTTGGTTGGCCCATTCTGTTCTACATTCCACTTGGGGGCTTTCTGTAATGGTGACATCGGGCGGAGTGGGCGAAGGCAATTCATCCTCCCCATCCCCTATGACAAACCTCTTACTATTCCTCCTCCCCAAGAAGTGTTTCTTCAACATTTTATTCGTCACAAAACTAAACGTAGGCGTGAAAGCTTCTTTTGGTGACACTTTTCGTCCGGGATCAAACGAGTCTTCCGGTGTACCGATGTCAGATAAACTTTTAAAAAGATCTGTTTGATTTATGCTATTGGCTACTTGTGCTGATTCTGGAGTATCTGACCCACTTTGATCAACATCCAATTTATCGTTGGAATTCTCACTTTTTTTACTGGAGCAATGTTTATTTTGATCTAGATTTGAGGCTGCCTTTGTAGATGAGGTCGGTGATGTTTTTGATGGTTTCAGTTTATCTTTTGAAGGTTTAGCGATACTATGATTCGATTTTGGCAAGTTCCCGTTTTGTAAACAATCTTTGTTACCTGTCCGATGTTTTTTCACTTTGCTTTTGAAATCTTTAACGGTTTTAGTGGTAAAACTTAGCGTATCCGGCCGCTTTACTTTTAATAAATCACTATCATCACCTCTCAGGTCGTCATTCGATGACTTGACATGCCCGCTACTATTCCTGATAGCGCCCTCCGCCGTTTTGCCCGTGGTGTCAATTGTTGTGGATTCTATAGTAATTCTAGAACAGCACGATTGATTCGTGCCAATATCTAGTTGTGCTTGTATTAGAGGAGACTCTTCGTTAAACGAAACTGATGTGTACACAATCGAACGACAATATTTAATTAAATCGAACAGATGATAAAAAAGAACGAATAAGGTTTCGAAGAAAACGTTCATCGACTTCAAAAATAAAACGTATAATATAGGTAAAATACTAATTGTTATACAATTACACTTTATTTAACTCATTTTCAATTTTTTTACGGGTCAATTACGGGTTTGAACCTAAAAAATAAAATAAAAAATATATAATTTATGTTTCGCGATTATTCGATGTCAAAATAATTTCAACACCGTCAATTACATGGTAGCTTTTAGATGATTGAAGATTTTATATGGCTATGGTCTTCAAAAAGATTTCAATAAAATATTTCTTGTATTGTTTGTTAAATACATTCAATATACAGGGTGGCGCACATCATTCGCCTATAGGTTGACTATATGAAAACGGAACGATATAGAAACAAAATATTTTATGGGTATATGTGAGGAGGAAATGTGCACAATTGAAAATTATTTTGAAATATACAGGGTGTTTCAGAACTAAGATTCATACCAAAGTTATATTTTTTCTTATGGAAAACCCGGTATTTTATTTCATTTTTGGCTTCTTGGGTCCAAAAAAGGTATTTATTATAAGGTTTAAATATGTTTAAACTCTTTGGTTTTTAAGACATTTAAATATGCATGCTACAATAGAATAGATTATCAACACCCTCTACATTACTTTTCAGAATTAATTCTTGTGCTGAGTTTAAAGGTAAAGAAATAAACTTTACTGAAAAATGTTATTGCTTCCTTAAATTTATACAGGAGTAACAAAAATTGCTGATCTATTTTAAGGATTTGTTTTACATAAAAACTTCGTTATTTCAAATGCAACACACTGTATTTTTTTGAAACGAATCGAAGCAGATTCAAATGCTCTTTCAAACTATATTAGGGTTTCCGATACCTATCTAGGTCAGATTTTGAATAAAAAGTGATTTTTCAATAAAATGACAATCAAGATGGAATTATCGCCCTGGTAATTTTCTAGTAACAGTTAGTAACTATTTAAAAAATCGGCATTAGTTTATAGACATTACTATTTAGATTTATTACAGTTTACTTAAATTTACCCACAATAGTTTAATCAGTAAGTATTCATTATTTTACCAAGAAAAATAAAGCAGTATCTGCTGGTGGAACGCGTGGATTTTATTTTGTGAGGAAAATTGTTTCTTGGATTCAAGAGCTTATGCTCAAAGATATCCGAATAGGAATCTTCCTGATAAGCGTTCCTTTGAAAAACTACTAGACCTATTTCGCAGAGTTGGTAGTGTAGTCTGTAAAAAATCTATAGGCAGAAACCTGTGGTTCGAAGTGTAGATAATGAATTTGCCGTAACTGGCTCTTTTTTATGGCAAATCCATATATCTACAAGTCATCGTAAAATAAAACAAAGAACTACTTCTTCGTTTTTCTTGATAGGATAATAAATATATATTTAATAAATATTATTTGTTAAACCGTTGTAAGTAAATTAAATAAAAGCAAACTGATATAAATTTAAATAAAGTCCATAAACTAATTTCGATTTTGAAAATAGCTACTAATTGTCACTAGAAACTTGCCATGACGACACTAGCCCCTCTTGCTTGCCATTTTATTGAAAAATTGCTCTTTATTCAAAATCTGAGCTAGATAGGTATAGGAAACCCTAATATAGTTTGAAAGAGCATCTGAATCTGCTTCGATTTATTTTAAAATATACAGGGTGTTGTATTTGAAATAACGAAGTTTTTATGTAAAACAAATATTTAAAATAGACCAGAGATTTTTGGTACTCCTGTATAAATTTAAGAAAGAAATAAAATTTTTGAGTAAAGTTTATTTCTTTACCTTTAAACTCAGCATACCTATACTACGTAAAGTTTACTTTCTTTACCTTTGTACTATGCAAATAGGCTTTCTATAGATATTAACATGTGGTTGGATATCGGGTTTTTAATTAAAATTAACTAAGTAAACAATCAAACAACACAAATTAAAATTAACTAAGTCAATCAATCAAACAAAAATCCGAAATCTCGTAATAACAGAATTATTGCCACTCGATCTGTAGTATTTTGGTTTTACTCAAGGTGGGCTTTTATATCATTAAGTAACATTATTCTTAGAGATGAAAACTGGTTATTATTGACAAATACGCCAACGACTTGATAGACTATTCAATCTATTCAGAGTTCTTATATCTAATTTGTATTAAAGAAAATATTTAGATTGAGTACCAAGATGAAATAAAGTCTCTTGAGTATTCAACTTTGCGGTTTTGTACCTAAGAATTTGTATTAGCTAATTAGTTTAGAAAATTTCAAGTAATTAGACTGAATTTATTATGAATTTCAGATTTAGCAAAGTTCTCTAATGACACCATTAGGTATCCGTTGAAATGTAAAATAAATTTTGATTATTAGGTAACATTTTTACATAATAAATAATAGATTAACTATTGTCTCTTTGTGGCTAGAAAGCTTTTCGGTACTAGAAGAAAATCTACAAAATAAAAAAGGTATGTTTTGTAAACATCACTGCGTTGATCCAACGGAGACCAATTATATAGTAGTATTTTACTACTAATAATAATTTTACTAATTTCGGGAGACAATAATGTAATATTATCGTCGTGGATAAAACAATATTTTTTTCCATAGCGAGTTACCTTTTAAAAAATATTCAGAAATTATTATTTCAAGGAATTTTTTACGAGTAGAAAAAATATTGTGCTAGGTTGGCGTTGCTTTGATGTTGTAATTTGACATTGATAATAAAGCTGGTTGGCGATGTTGTAATTTGACATTGACAATAAAGCTGTCTCTTTAGTTGTCAGTTTTGAGTCAATATTTTTTAATTCTCTTTCGTGTCGATTGCTGATTGAATTAGAGCATGCCCTAGACACTCAATGGTAATTTTATGGAACTATAAATTTAGTTACTTCCTGATCACCAGACAGCGCAAAAGACATTAAAGTACAGGTTTCTAATTTATATATGAAGATGGCATGACAGCCTCTATATTTACTACCATCTATGGTCTAGTTTTGGTCTAGTTGTCAAAATGTTGGTGATCCGTCAAGTTATTTTTAAATCATTTTTAAATAATTATTAATTCAGATATTCCTGATTTGCCGGAAAGTTCGGTGATTTGTGTTTATAGTTTGTGTTCTTATTAGTTTGTGCATTTTGATATTTACATCGTGTGAGATACTAAACTTTTTTTTAGTAAAGACCTTTTAGACATCTTAGATGAATAATACATTTATGAACGAAATGAAAAAACACGTTTAATCATAAATAAGTAAGTACATAGTTGGTAATATAGTACTTTAACAATTAGTAGTCTATAATATTTTTATTATAGACATCAAAAACATAGGCGCTATGTACTCTATTGTTGGTGTTTAAAATGTATGTATTCATAATTTTATTTTTAGTTTTGAATATGTTACACTTCTAATGATCTAATAAAATATAAAATAGGGTCTTGTGCAGAACAGGTCCCCACGAAATCGTGGTTTTTTAATTTTTAATGTGGATCCCATAGTTAATGGAATGGTTTAAAAGAAAAAAATTGTTGGATGAACCACTTTTTCTACGAAAAAAAATAATTGAAAATTCCAAATTTTCACTACATTTCAATGCGAAAATTCCCTATTATAACCTTCATAAAGACAGTAAAATACAAGGTTATGCACAGTGTTGCCATACTCACCCTGTGTAAAATCGACGAAAACGTTCTACTTTATATTCATTTTTTTTACATTTAGTACGCACTTTAAGAACACGAAAAATTAAAAATATAATAAACGAGGCAAAACAAAAACACTATAAAAATAAATTGACAATAAAATCATTACACAGTATTTAGCACAATTGTTTAAAAATATATTTTTCCCGGATTTGTTCAGTAAGATTCCGAAATGGATGTGATCTGCGTACTTCCAAACACTCCCCACCAACCTAACCTAACCAATGCATTAACACCCCCAAATAACCAGGCTAACCAATGCATTAACACCCTCCAAATAACCAGACTAACCAATGCATTACCACCCTCCAAATAACCAGAATATCTAACCTAACCTAACCTAACCAATGCATTAACACCCCCAAATAACCAGGCTAACCAATGCATTAACACCCTCCAAATCACCAGGCTAACCAATGCATTAACACCCTCCAAATAATCAGGCTAACCAATGCATTACCACCCTCCAAATAACCAGCCTATCTAACCTAACCAACCAATGCATTAACACCCCCAAATAACCAGGCTAACCAATGCATTAACACCCTCCAAATAACCATGCTAACCAATGCATTACCACCCTCCAAATAACCAGGCTAACCAATGCATTAACACCCCCAAATAACCAGGCTAACCAATGCATTAACACCCTCCAAATAACCAGGCTAACCAATGCATTACCACCCTCCAAATAACCAGGCTAACCATTGCATTAACACCCTCCAAATAACCAGGCTAACCAATGCATTACCACCTTCCAAATAACCAGGCTAACCTAATTGAGCCTAATGACAAAACTTCATTGATTACGCGTCGAAAAACAGTATATATTAAAAAAACTTATATTTTCGTAGAACCTGAAAAATCCGCAAATTTTATTTCAGAAATTGCTTTAAAATAATCCACACTAACGAATAAGCTACTAGACAGTTCAATTTTTGTTGCACTAAAGTGATAACTTACCGTTTTAAGTCCCTCCACAACAACTTTATTTCAGAAGAAAATCATATAAAGTAATTTTATTGACAACGTCGCAAATTCTATGCGAAGGCCATAGATGACATACCGATGATCGATTAACTGTCAATCGAAAAAGTCATAAAATTGCTAGCTTGAGCTGATGTAAATAAATATATTTTCTTAATTTTTATGCTTACAAAGAAGATTCGTTACATTTTTGTGCTTAAATTAGATCATTCCACGTCTATATAAGGTAATAAAGTACTAATATGTGATGTTTTTACTGAATCCGTGTAGAAAATTTAACATATTTACTGTCCGTCGCCTGTACCTAAAATACGTTTTTTTGCCGCTTTTTAAAGATAAAACACATTCATCCAACAATTTTTATGCTTAAAAATATTCCGTTTAAGATAATCTTGCAAAAAAAACCCAAAAAAGTGTTAAATGCGTGGGGACCTATTGTGCACCAGAGCCTATAAAATATAGTAAACAAGTCTATATTTATTATTTTATATATTACAAGGAATAATTTTGCGCTTGAATAACGTTACCGTTTTAGTTAGCTAGTTAGTTAATAAATAACGGAACGCTAAAATTATGTTATGCCAAAACTCTCCATTAGTTTATTTCGGATCACCAGGTGGCTCTAAGGGCTCAAACACACTGACGACCACAACTGACGACCAGGTCGCACCGGCCAAGCCGCACCTACGTCTAAAACCATTGAATCAAATGATATATAGCGCACACTAACGTCTTGGCCGTCCGTTGGTCGTTGCGACCAGAAGACTGCACGCAAATATTATTATTTTTGGCCGCTTGTTGCCGGTTTTCTTCCAAATTAATAATTTTTCAGATGAAATCCCTCAAATTCAAGGCACAATATTTTATTTTCTATAAGATATAGTGTTTTAGTGTAGTTTTCGCACACGTGCAGAAAATCCAAAGAAATAGTATACAGACTGGATCAAAGGTAAACTTAAATCTAATCCCTTTTTTTATCAAGGGTCGATTCTAGTAAAAACTCAAAACATTTTTATATGACATACCTACTCTATTTATAGTTAGTATGATACCTGTTATTATACCTTTGAGTTTCGATGTTTAAAAAATAAAAAAAATAATATTTAAAGTTTTTCTACAACCACTTGTTTTTTTTTATTAAATTAGTTTTTTTAGTTGTATTGTAGTCATGTACAAGGAGGACAACTATATTTTAAATATGATATTTAATTTAACGTTCTTCAAACAGGGTTCATTAGACTATATTTCTACTAGGTACATTATTTTGAAAAAAAAAATTAAGAAAGTAACTTAAACATTCATAAAAATAGAAGTAATTACTGTTGTAGATTCTTGGTTATATTGTAAACATTGAAATAACTGGAAGCTAAACTTTCTACCTGCTTATATTTAGAGCCAGTGTCTGACGATCTTTTTTTACGATGGCCCTAATATGTTTACTTTTAAAGTCGATAAGGGCGCCATATCAGTAGAAAATAGAAACAGTATCTCCCTTTTTGTCGGTCGCGCGTACACAATGCTTTTTGTTTGTTGTGAATAGCAACTTCGCTTTTTAGTTAACTCGGATATTTTAACATTTCTGAAACAATATTTTCTAATTGGTAAAACGTAAAAAATCGTTAGATTTGACAACTCTGTTGAAACTGGTCGTTCATCTGGCCGCAGCTAAAAACGCAATACATCCGGCCAGCCGACCGCCAGGTTGTTGCGACCTGGTCGTCAGTGAGTTCGAGCCCTAAATGACAGACTTATTTGTTTTATATCAGTGTCCAATCTATCTCTAGTACGTGGCATTAGTCTATGAAGTAGAGCCAGAAAAGGCTCAAAACGAAGTAAGTAAATTACCAACAGATATTCAGGCTGAAGCGACAACCGCCATATTCAAACTACTTCCATTTAAATCTCGAATATCTTTTGAAAAGGAATACAAACATTTTCAAAAATGGAAGCTATTAAAAAACGTGCGAGAAGAAATAAAGTTTTTAACCTATCCTCGCTGTTAAAGTATCATTTAATCTACCCTTGCGGTTAAAGTACTATTTTATCTACTACTTTTGATAGAGATAAGGCAATTTTAACAGTTGCTATGGAAAACAACAAATTTGCCCAATGGACAAATATGCTTAATGTTTCGGGAGGTATGTCTCCTCCCCTCTTCAGATGCAAAAAAAAATCAAAGAACAAAGAAAAAACTAGTTAAAATCAAAATACAACTATTCAAGAACACTTTTTTTAGCAGATACGCCTGTTATAAACAGTTGGCACTCTGCTAAAATGCCATTATATTATTATTTTTTAAGCAACTTTGTTTTATTAGTAAAATACTAAGACAAATTGGTCTCCGTTAGATCAACGCAGTTGGTGTTTACAAAAAATAACTATTCTATTTTGTAAATTCAAAAAATCAAGTCCTTTCAAGAAATAATGTTTGATCTTTAATAGCCAAAATACAAGAATTGATTTCAAACACCTGACTGTATGATCGAAAAAAAAAAACGGTGTCACCGCATTTAAAATAATAAAACGATAATCATTTTTGTATGGCCGACGTATGCCTATAATACCGGGTGCGTATCAAAAGTGGCTCACCCCCTATAACTTTTTTATTTCTTCAGATAAAAAACGAGATTTGGTATGTAAGTATATGACCTAAATTAGGATTGATTGACGTATTCAATTGTTTTTGGTCACTTCCTGTTTCACCGGAAATGACTACAACTTCGATAGAAAATCACACTCAGATAGACATATCAGATGTAAACTTTTGACATTTCCGCTTAAAAAAATCGTATTTTAAATTTCCATCTAGAGTGGCTGTGTTAAAAACACTAATTTTTAATCAAGGCGTCTTGGAAAATTAGATATGATAGTCTGATATTTTTCGCGTCTTATCCTGGTCAGTTAAAAGATGCCCAAAACGTATTTTTCGACATATCTCAATTTTTTCAAATGGAACAAGGAACAAGGGTGGCTCATTAGCATATTTGGAAAAAGCATCATTTTTTTTACGAATAATTGATAGGTACCTCACACTTTTTTATTCCGTATTTCGAGTCAAATTGTCGTTATGAACCGCATGTTATAATTCCAAATAAACCATATGCGAAAATAAACCATATGCGTAAAAGTTGACATATGATATGTCATTCTATCCAGAGTGTCATTTTCTATGGAATAAAGTAAAAATATACTGGGAGTGCCAATTAAAAATCAAAAATTGTGGTCATTTCAGGTGAAACAGGAAGTGACCAAAAACAATTGAATACGTCAATCAATCCTAATTTATGTCATATACTAACATACCAAGTCTCGTTTTGTTATCTGAAAAAATAGAAAAGTTATAGGGGTGAGCCACTTTTGAGACGCACCCGGTATGCGATTTAAAATCTGACAAAAAAATCACGTTTAAAAAAAGTAAAGCAATTCAGCACAAAATGTCAGTGTTTTCGATCTTATGATACCTATATTTCATTTTGAACTTTCAGTCTTTCAGAATTTGTTTATACGTAGTATATTCTTAAAAGACATTTTAGAATTACTTTGTGTACGTTAACAAACGACAATGCTCACTTATTTTTTTGCTGACGCAAATGATCAAATGTGTCAAAGTACAAGGTAAAGTAGTCTTATTAAATGTTTTTTCAAATTAAATTGTAGACTCGTCATTGTCCATTGGTTGTCACGTAAAAAAATAACAATTGTTACACAGTTTCAGAAAAAAATACATAAGGTTTAGGGGGAAACATTATTTGCTCGTAAAAGGTTTATAAAACTGTAAGGTTAAATACAAGCCGCTAACGTAATAGAATACATTAATTATTCATAAGAAAATATTAAGGAATTGGTTTGAAGTTTTAATTAATATTTAATTTGAAAAATTCTACGTCAGTATAAATTAAAAATATTAACATACCTATCTACCAAGAAAAAAGTTATTAATTATAACTTATTCGCGGTTTTTTTATTCAATAACTTGTAAGAATATGTAAGAGTTATAAAATTTAAGATAATTGATATGTAATATTTAACCGGCAATTTTCTGTTTAATTTTTTTTATTAATTTTATTAAAATAATATTATAAGCCCTAATGCGGATACATTACGTCCGAGAATAACAAACTTAACCTATACATAGCTTAACCTCAAAACCTAAAATATTTACACACCCACTTTCGAATAAAAATCAATAAAATCGGTCATAAATCGTGAATTATTAATAATATTTTTGTCGGAAAACCTTTCCAATTCATAATTTGGAAATGTCAACATCCTAAAGTAATTTTTTTTTATAAAAACTTTCTTACGAAAGTAGATCTTGTTTTTAATATCTGTAGGCCATTAAAACTTGTAATTTTCAGTGTTGAACATTGTTTCGACTGTCTAGTTATTTTTTCTTGTTGTAGAAGATATTGTTCGAAACACTCACCGTTTTCTCAAATATTCGCTTTTCCTTGCACGATACCTAACCCAAAACAAAGCCCAAAACAAAATTATTGATGTAATGACGCGATCTCGTACGATAGCTACACAACACAACGCAACTATTGGCGGGGAAAGCACACGAGTGAGTCGCGCACAGACTGGAGGTCGCGTTTAAAAAGGAACGACCCGCGCTTTCCGTCAATTACGTTTCTCTTTTTAATTTTATTATAACAGGTGGATCTTGGAAGGGACATATTTATTTATGTCTACACAGTGCAAATAAAAACTACAACATCTACACGATTAGTAGTTGTTTCTACAGTCTGTGCAACGAAAGAGTTTACAATGACCGTTGCGGTCGTTCACTCTAATTCAAAGGTACATTGTTTTCTCCAAAAAAATCCTTTATAGGTATTTCGCCACTGCACTGCAAGAAAAATCTACAAAATAAAATAGTTATTTTTTTAAACACTTCTGCGTTAAACCAAAACGGACACTGCTTGTCAGAAGTTATGTTTACAGTAATACCAATTTGCCTAACAAAGAAAAAAAATGCTTAACGTTTCGGAAAGTTTATCTCTTTCTGTCGTCGGAAGCAAAAAAATACAAAGAATAAAGAAAAAAACTATTTAAAATATTTAAATTCAACTATTCGAGAACACTTTACTTTTTTTAAAACAGATACGTCTACAAGCAACCGTTGCCGTACTGTTAAAATGACCATTATATCAAGTTAAACTTCAAAAATAACGATTACTACCTGATAACAATTATTTAATAAGGTAAAACCAAAAATCCCAAACTTTCTGTATGATTATTTTTAAATTTTACGTATGTTATGTTTATTTATGTTATGTTCTTTAAAATCAAAGAAGCGATTGCCATACATTACTAACATTTACAGATGCATGAGCAATACATTTATTTTTATTAGATTGAATTAAAAAAGCCTCTTTTCTTTTTCTTTTAGAGGCTATCGCTTCTTTCATTATAATTTTGGCGTTATTCAAATTTATTCTGTGGCCTGTGTCCCATGAATGCTGACAAATCTTAAATTTGTGAAAATCTCCCTTTCTTAAATAATCTTTGTTCTTTAATTATAACATTTAAGGATCTAGATGTTTCACTAATGTAAAATTTATCGCATTCACAGGGTATTTGGTATATTAAATTTTTTGTTGTTCTGTATTCATTGGTTTAGTATGCGATAAAATTGATCTAAGTGTATTTTGCGTTTTGAAGGATGTATGTTATATTGTTTTCCTATCCTTCTTATATATTAATTTAATTAATTTGTGATTTTCTTTTATTTTGTACAATAATATGATCTATTTGTATATTTTATATTACTTAATCAATTGTTATTTTCTCTTGCTTTGTTTTTGTTTTGGTTAGTTTTAAGGGGTTAAGTGGTAGAATAGCTCTCTAGCTAAACTTCGCCCTATGTTTACCCTATGTTATACCGTTTGTTTCAATTTTTGAGATTAATGAATAAGGACGTTTTATTATTATATTAGTATTATTTTTTCCGAAACGCCTCGTATGTATGGAATTGTAAGTTGTATATATTGTGTATTGTTATCATTGGTCTATGATTTGGGATTTATATTATTTTTATTCTATTTTATTTTGTAGATTTTTCTTGCAGTGCAGTGGTGAAATACCCATAAAGGATTTTTTTGGAGAGATGAATCCGCCACATAGGTATAGACATTTTTTACATTGTTTTTTTCTGAACGTCGTTGTTCTGTGGACATCATAATATATTCTCTCGCCTGGATAAACTATAGTTGCACATATCCTCCAAGATAATTTTTTTATCTAAAATAAATCATAGATTGCTAAGCTGTCATAACTAGTCAATTAATGTTTAATTGTTTTCGCGCGCGCGGTCACTTATAATATGCACTTTCGGTTTTTTTACCTTAATTTTTTACTGCATTTGATAGAAAATGATATTCTGAATAGAATGACATATATAATATGTCAACTATTGACATTTTTAATTAAAAAAAAAGCATTTTAAATTTCAACTTAGAGCATGGCCATAAATGTAACGACAATTTGACCGATGAGCTACAGGCCAGTTATGATTAAAAATACGATTTGGACATATTTTAATTTAATCGGCCAGGACAAGACACGAAAAACATTAGAGAATCAAATCTATTTTTTCGAGGCTCCTTTTATTAAAAAAAATAGTAAAAATTATGATAACATAAAACTTTATAATAATATCCTAATTTTAGACAGGTATGTCAGAAAATATTTAAAAGTTTAAATAATACAGAAGTAAGATATCAGAAAAAAACAACTTCGGTTACAAATGTTATTATATAATTTAATTAAAAAATTAGAACATAAAAAAGGACTAAAAAAATTAAAACTGCACATCAATTTTACCATTATTAAATATGCCACAAATAATTACTACAAAGCAAATAATGTTAGCAGAGACAAGATAATGCAAGTAACCTATGTTTCATTAGTGATATCAAAATGAAAAAAAAATAAAGCTGGTTTCGCATGTGTACGCATTTCCGAATTTTTTCCCAAAACAACATGAGCAATTTCAATAATTTTTAGCAAATTTTTCACCTGTCAGACGTATTACGATATTACCCATTAATTTTAGCCAAACTATTTTTTATATTAAACTGCTCAACATCTCTCACTAATAAAACTTCTTTAATCGCTAGAAAAAAAGTGAAAAAGTAAATAATCCAAACTAGTAGGCCGCCTTTATAATTTGACAATCATAATATCGGACGTGGAAATAACTCAAATGAGTAAATTAAATGTGTCTAGTAGGCTGCCCTCATAATGACTTGTTGTTTGCAAAAGCGGCCGTAAAGAAAAAAAGCGGCCAAAAAAGATACACTTTAGGGACGTTAATAGATCCGTAAAACTTTTTAGTGACACTCGTTTAAAAAATACTTTAGTTAATTTGTTTTTTGGTTTGGTTTGGTTTGGTTGATTGACCTATTCAATTGTTGTTGGTCACTTCCTGTTTCACCGGAAATCACTACAACCTTTGATTTTTAAATGGCATCCTCGGTATTTTTTTACGTAACTGGATAGAAAATGAGACTCTGAATAGAATGACATATCATATGTCAACTTTTGGCATTTTCTCATATGGTTTATTTGAAATTATAACATGCGGTTCGTAACGAACATTTGACTCGAAATACCAAGTCCAAGTGTGTGGTACCAAATTCAGTGGCGGCTCGTCAGGGTAGGCAAGGTAGGCGGCGCCTACCCTACAATTCTGTCTAATTTTTTTACATTATAATATTTATTTACTCTATTAATGTTGCCAATACATATTAAAATACTATTAATACACGGAAATGAGTTGTAACAATTAATAATAATTTAATATTTGTAGTCTTTTTTATATTAATATATTAACTACCGCTGGCGTATGCAGCGTTAGAAATCAAAATAATTTTGACCGTTGGAGTATAATGCCTGCCGTCTTTGTTCGGCGATTTCTAGCATCGCCTTTCAAATTAAATTTTGATCTCCCACTCAGCCGTCGATGTGTGTTTTTTGTCTCTGTCTAACTCATCGCGCGGTAGCGACGGAAATCGATGACTACGTCGAATTAAGGCGGGGTTTAGGCGATATCTTCAGTCGCCTCTGCATGCGCGTGGAGCTCGATAGGTTTTAGAAATTCGGTATTCGGTGGTTTCCATATTTATTATATTATTCATTATACGTTATCAGTATTTAAAACTTTAATTAAAATATGTTTGTCGACTGCCTATTATTGACTTGAATGGTGCATTTGGTGTTCCTGTTCGTGTACAGTGCATTTGGTTGTTAATTTCTAAATTAACAAGGAGGAGATATGGATAAGTATTAATTAAGGTTAAAATTTGGAGCAATTAATTTTGATTTTCAATATGGATAATCCTATTCACACAATTTATGCGACGTATAAATACATTCATACCATTTACTAGTACTTCGGTTGAGAGACATTTTTCATGTTTGAAACGCATTAAAAATTACACTAGAAATTCAATGAAAAATAAACGTTTATCTTCACATGCCTTACTTTGAATCGAAAAAGATATTTTCATAGCCATTCAACAATCTGATAACTTTACAAATATAATAAATAAATTTTCTTTATTAAGAAATCGGCGAATCAATTTAATATATAAAAAGTAATTATTCTTTCCCTTTGTTTATGAGTCTCGAAATATGTACCGTATGATCGAATAAAAACGGCGTCAGCGATGGCTATGAAATGAAGATCGCTGTCATTTTATATGTAAATTTATATGGGAAATGTCATCGATCGTCATTTCCCAGCCAACTGGACGCCGTTCTTTTTCGATTATACGGTATATGAATAAGGCAATCTGTTTTTCTTTGTAAATTTATTTGTCTATATATTTACCTATTGTTAAGTTATGTAAATAAATAAAAATAAAATAAAATCCTATGATGAACTGCCATGGTACTATTATCTACCTTATTTATGAAGGTATAAAGGAAAAAATCAAGGTAGAAAGGAAATAAATAAAACACACATATACATTATGTTAATCTCATTATGTTGAATGCTGTTAGTTTAGTTTTATCCTAAATATTCTTAAGCTAAGTTACACATAAGCTAACATATTGGTTTTTACGAACTGGGTTAGGATATTATATAAATTTTGGGGAACGAATAGACGCAATTAAAATTTTGTCGCCTACCCAGTCCCACAGACCACGAGCCGCCACTGACCAAATTATTAGTAAAAAATGCTTTTTCCAAATATGCTAATGAGCCACCCTTGTTCCATTATTTGAAACAATTGAGATATGATTAAAAATACGATTTGGGCATCTTTTAACCGGCCAGGACAAGCCACAAAAAACATTAAACGACCAAATGTATTTTTCCAAGGCTCTTTGATTAAAAATTAGTGTTTTTAACACATCCATGGCACTCCAGATTGAAATTTAAGATACTATTTTTTTAAAGCAATAACGTCAAAAGTTGACATATGAAAAGTTGTTATTCTATTCAGAGTGGCATTTTCTATTGAATAAAGTAAAAAAATACCAATGGTGGCATTTAAAAATCAAAAGTTGTAGTCACTTCCGGTGAAACAGGAAGGGATCAAAAACAACTGAATGCGACAATC